CACCCAGATCTATTATAATGGATTTTTCAAGGAGAAATGCAAATGTGGCAGAAGTAAAATTTAAGGATGGGAGGATTATATTCACTGCATGCACGGGGCCGGCGCTGTAAATCTCCCAGGTGCAATGCATCCTGGGGAAACTTGCTTCGTATTGCGAAAAAAAAATTCGCAAATGCATTGAAATCCAATTAATCTGTTCCGGAGGTCAGAAAAAAGTTTAAAAAAGTCCTATCTGTTCAAAACTCTTTATAAAGTGCACTTTAACCATTTCAATACCGGGCAATTTTCCCCCTTCCTGCCCAGGCCATTTTTCACGTTTCAGCGCTCTCATACTTTGAATGACAATTGCGCGGTCATACAACATTGTACCCAAACTAAAATTTTATAATTTTCTTCACACAACTAGAGCTTTCTTTTGGTGGTATTTAATCACCGCTGGGGTTTTTTATTTTTTGCTAAATTAACAAAAAAAGACCAAAAATGTTGAAAAAAAAAAAACACGTTTTTCTTTGTTTCTGTTATAAAAGTTTACAAATAAATAATTGTTCTTCATAAATTTAGGCCGAGATGTATTCTGCTACATGTCTTTGGTGAAAATAACCCAAATTAGGATGTAATATTTAGTTTGTAGGAAAGTTATAGAGTTCACAAACTATGGTATAGATCTGAATTTTGATCAATCCTGAAGTACTGACAGCCAATCTAATTTCCTGAGGTCCAAGAATGTCAGAACAGTACAGATATCCCCCAAATGTCAGGACAGTACAGATATCCCCCAAATGTCAGGACAGTACAGATATCCCCCCAAATGTCAGGACAGTACAGATATCCCCCAAATGTCAGAACAGGACAGATATCCCCCAAATGTCAGAACAGTACAGATATCCCCCAAATGTCAGAACAGTACAGATATCCCCCAAATGTCAGGACAGTACAGATATCCCCCAAATGTCAGGAGAGTACAGATATCCCCCAAATGACCCCTTTTTGCAGAGTAGACAGTCCGACGTACTTCATAAGAGGCATGGCGAGTTTTTTGAAGTTGTATTTTTTTTGTCATAATTTTTCGGAAAATTAAAAAATTAAAAAAATTATTTTCACTATTTTTTTTTTTACATACTGTCACCAGTGCAGTACAGCGTCATCATATAACTGGCATGGCGGTGATCAGGGACACTGACTGGTGACAGTATGAAAAAAAAAAATATATATATTTTTTTTTAATTTTTTTTATTATTTTTAATTTTTTATTACTTTTTTTTTATTTTTTTTTAAGATTTTTTTTTCATATTTTACTATGACCAAAGTAGTACAATGTTACCATAGTAACATTGTACTACTTTGGGGAAGTGATCAGTATTTTTTTTTTTTTTTCTACACAATTTGCTTATAGCAAAGAATTACTGTGCTATAAGCAAGCATTTACCTGAATGAAATGGATTCATTCAGCTTTTTTTTTTTTTGTGCTTAGCTGTGATTTGGTCACAGCTAATCACATGACATGTGCATGTGATTAGCTGTGACCATTCACAGCTAGGCACTAGTGTACAATGGATGGCATCATGAATGAAGCCATCCATTGTATACAACTGTCATGTGACCTGCTGTGATTGGTCACAGTAAGTCACATGGTACCTGCAACGGGGGTCGGTACTCAGATCTGTCATCGGCCGTGTCCGAGGTACACGGCCGGTGACAGATCGCGGCGCTGCGCCGCTCTGCATTAGCGCAAACTGCGCATGTGCGGGAGCACGCCAAATGGCGTGCACCCGGAGTGCAGAAGCACTTTTGAAGCCGCCAAACGGCCATTGGCCGGCGGGTAATGGTTAAAGGCACGGGGCCGGTGCTATAAACCTACCAGGCGCAATGCATCCTGGGGAAACTTGCTTCGTATTGTGAAAAGAAATTAGTAAACTGAGGCATAATTTTCAATGGATTTTCATTCATAAACTGAGAATTACATTAACCGAGGCACTACGCCTGTACCTTACTCAGACAAGGCTGGGCGCTGGGCGTATAATAAAGACAAAAAGACAGGATTCAATATGTGACTCACAGCCAGGCAGGTGACCACTCTCTTCAGTTGACCCATCTGACACTCAGTAGGACGCATTTTCCTGTTGGGCAGGTCCACCTCCCAGACACGCAGTGTGCCGCTGTGGGGAGACACAACATTGGGGTCAGGAAGAATATTAGGGACAACATTACAAGCTTTTTCATTACCATAGTATATCTTACTATACAACATTGGACAGTCATAGATACTGAACACTTAACAAATCCTTTGTGTCCCTCACAAACTCTTCCATTGAAGTCTCAGACTTGTCCAACCCATCCAAAACTTGATATTAGAGTTGTAGGTGACGTTCAGGAGGCTGAGTCGCTCCCTTTCCTTTTAAGTATCAGAGGCTATGGCCACAAAATCTTCCTGCCTTAATTCCCGAGTCTGCCTGTTCTTACCTGAGCGGTGTTACTGTTCCCCTATTGCAATTTTCAAACTATAAAACAAGTTAAAATTCCAGCAGAACTGAAGAATACAACCAACATAAATTTATAATCTCTGCAGAAGGTGAGCAGACAATAAAATACAGAGATAGTACTACTGGAGTCCACAAAGTGTTAGGTGGTTAAAATTTTTAGGATCCGTCAAAAGCAAACACTACAGTATATGGTCAAAGGCAGGGGTGGACTGACAACTCATGGGGCCCCCGAGCAATAGGGGATCATGGGGCTCCTGTGTCCTTGCCCAAACTCAAAAAAAGCCTATGAAAAATGTACCAGGGGCATCTCATGGGGCCCCCTACTGACCCCGGGCCCTCGGGCAGTGCCCGAGTTTCCAAATGAATAGTCCGCCCCTGGTCAAAGGACACCAGACCATTTCACCTACTGTATACTTGAGCTTGTTGGACATTCCATTCCAAAACCATGTGCATTAACCACCTCCCGTCCGGCCCATGTAGATAAACGGCCGGACGGTAGCAGTGCACGAGCGGGTTGTCATTCATAAACAGCACCCACATTTTCAGGTTGTGCGCGCTCCGTGGGAGCATGCAGCACCATGATCTGGTGCCCGCTGTGTCCGGAGCAGAACACTGATCGCTGTACGGGACCTCTATGTGAGGTCCTGGTCATGTGATCACTGATTGGCCAATCAGTGATCACATGAATAGTAGTAAGCAAGATGTCACTTCTGACATCATTGCTTACTACGTGTGAAATCTGTGAATGATCACAGAGGTCACATGGTACAGGGCTATTCACAACAGCCTTGTACCATGTGACAAGCTGTGACCAATCACAGCTCTCACAGTATTTCTCAATGGCTGCAAGAATGCAGTCAGAGAGGAGAAATGATTGCTTTTACAGCCTTTATGGGTGTAAAAACAATCATTGTAAAAAAATCGTAATCACCCCCCACACTGTACTGCTAGGGTGACAGTATGTAAAAAAACAAAAAAACAAATAATATTATAAAAAAATAAAATAGAAATAAATGTTTTAATTCTAATTTTTGGTTATAAACTAATTTGGATTATTTTTTTTTTTACCGAATAAATTTTGGCCAAGATTTATGAAGAAAGATTATTTGCTAAATAAAGAAAACACTTTTTTTCAAAATTTTTGGACTTTTTCATTTATATAGCAAAAAAAATAAAAATCCCAGTGGTGAATAAATACCACCAAAATAAAGTTTTATCTGTGTCAATAAAATGCAAAAAATTCATATGGGTACAGTGTTGCATGACCGCGCAATTGTCATTCAAAATGTGATAGCATGAAAGCTGAAAATTGGCCTGAACTGGAAGGGGGTAAAAGTGTCTGGACTTGAAGTGGTTAAAATGAAGTTGGAACCCGCAGTCAGCACTCTTCTTGGAAGGCTTTTCACAAGATTTTGGAGGGTGTCTGTGGGACTTTGTGCCCATTTGTGAGGTCAGGTACTGATGTTGGGTGAGAAAACCTGGCTCATAGTTGGCATTCCAATTAATTCCAAAGGTGTTCAGTAGGGCTGAGGCCAGGTACTGATGTCGGATGAGAAGACCTGGCTAACTACTGAAGTTCCAATTGTTCCCAAAGTTGTTCAATAAAGTTAAGGTCAGGTACTAACGTTGGATGAGAAGACCTGGATCACCACTGGTATTCCAATTCTTCTCAAAGGTGTTCAGTAGGGTTGAGGTCAGGTACTGATGTCAGATGAGAAGACCTGGCTAACTACTGAAGTTCCAATTGTTCCCAAAGTTCAATAAAGTTAACGTCAGGTACTAATGTTGGATGAGAAGACCTGGATCACCACTGGCATTCCAATTCTTCTCAGAGGTGTTCAGTAGGGTTGAGGTCAGGCCTGTGTGTAGGCCACTCAAGTTCCTACACACCAAACTGGCCAAACCATGTGTTTATGGAGCTGGCTTTCTACAATGAGAGATAGTCATGCTGGAACAAAGCATGGTCTTCCCCAAACTTTTGTCATGGGGTTGGAAAAGCACAATTGTCTAAAATGTCTTTGTATGCTGTAGCATTAACAGTACCCTTCACTGGGAACATCTGAAATCATTTGGAGGACTATCCACATACTGTTAGCCATGTAGTAGGCGTAATGGTCAGGTAGCCAAACACTTTTGTATCAAAGCCTGGCCCTTTAAAAGAGTTATTCTGTTTAATCTCAGGTAAGAGTTGTCAGAGTCAGGACAAAGCAGGGGCAGACTGACCATTTGGAAACTTGGGCACTGCCCGAGGGCCTGGGGTCAGTAGGGGGCCCCATGAGATACCCCTGGTACCTTTTTTTTTTTTCATAGGTTTTTTTGAGTTTGGGCAAGGACACAGGGGCCCCATGATCCCTATTGCCCAGGGGCCCCATGAGTTGTCAGTCCGCCCCTGGGACAAAGCATCACCATGACAATAGATTTTGATGCAAGGTAGACAGCTTACTTTCCACTAGTTATGAAGATATCATCGCTGCTGTTGGAGAAGGTCACAGCCACGGCATGTCCGGCACTGAGTGACGACGCTGGGCTCCCGCAGATAGGCTCTCTGGTTAACACATTCCATAGGATGACGCTGAAAGAACAAATCTGATGGTGGACATTGGAGAAACCTGCTGCCCCTAAATTAGATGTAGTATCGGTGAAGTGTATATCTTCTAGGAAGGCTTCTCTATGATAATGAAGGACGTGAAAACAGAAGATGAAGCTGTGGCAACCGCGAAAATGAACAGCCTTGAAACGTTGCTATCTGCTGAGTGTTATGCAGGCCATAGACAGGTCGAAAATCGGCCATTTAAAAAAAAAAAAAAAAACGAAAAATTGGTCATTCGATCGGCCGACGTTACCACCAACGGTAAAAAAATCGGCCGATTTTCGTCCCGTCTATGGCTGGCATTTAACCCCATAATTACTTCTGTCCCTTGCAGAGACAGGGGAGAACACAGGGGAGAGAAGAAGAAGAAGAAGGAGGAGAAGGAGAAGAAGAAGGAGAAGGAGAAGAAGAAGAAGAATTCCAGTCCGCTATTATATTTTATATGAAAAGTCTTGTGGTTGCAACAATGTATCCATTTGTATCCTTTTCTGATACAGATGTTTTTATTCGGATACAAATGGATACATTGTTGCAACCACAAGACTTTTCATATAAAATATAATAGCGGACTGGAATTCTTCTTCTTATTATTATTCTTCTTATTCTTGTTCTTCTTTTTCTTCTTATTTTTCTTCTTATTTTTCTTCCTCTTCTTGCAGGTCACGGCTCATGTGCAGATTTTTTATCGGTATAACGATCGGCCAATTTGCCCATCATTGTCAAAATCGGCCGCAAATTTTCCAACATGCCCGATAAAAAAAATGTGCAAAAAGCCCGAAAAACAGCCGACCAATTAACCCGCTAACAGTGAGAAAAATCGGCCGATTTTCGTCCCGTCTATGGCTGGCATTTAACCCCATAATTACTTCTGTCCCTTGCAGAGACAGGGGAGAACACAGGGGAGAGAAGAAGAAGAAGAAGGAGGAGAAGGAGAAGAAGAAGGAGAAGGAGAAGAAGAAGAAGAAGGAGAAGAAGAAGAAGAAGAAGAAGAAGAAGAAGAAGAATTCCAGTCCGCTATTATATTGTATATGAAAAGTCTTGTGGTTGCAACAATGTATCCATTTGTATCCATTTCTGATACAGATGTTTTTATTCGGAAAATAATGGATACATTGTTGCAACCGCAAGACTTTTCATATAAAATATAATAGCGGACTGGAATTCTTCTTCTTATTATTATTCTTCTTATTCTTGTTCTTCTTTTTCTTCTTATTTTTCTTCTTATTTTTCTTCCTCTTCTTGCAGGTCACGGCTCATGCGCAGATTTTTTATCGGTAAAACGATCGGCCAATTTGCCCATCATTGTCAAAATCGGCCGCAAATTTTCCAACATGCCCGATAAAAAAAATGTGCAAAAAGCCCGAAAAACAGCCGACCAATTAACCCGCTAACAGTGAGAAAAATCGGCCGATTTTCGACCCGTCTATGGCCGGCATTACTCAGTACTGCAGTTGCAAATCTCTGCAGTGCACACCTGCCCTAATTAGGAAAGCTTAATCAGACTTCTGGACATTTGGTCTGTATCTAATTAACAGGTTTGTCTGCTCCTGCTCTGGAATAAGCACTGTGTGACTTTTCCTTTGACTGTCCATGACTTGAATTATCCCTGCAAATTGAACTGCATTTCTTCTCTTGTCTGAGCTCCTCTTGATCCTTGGCTTGCTATTGTCAGTCTGTGAACCATTTGTCTGTCTGGAAGCTGGATTCTGTTCTGGTTCAGATTCTCTGTGCCTGCTCTAAACAGTCAGCCTGCTAACTGCTGATACCTGCTGCTAATGTCTGTTATATGATCTGCCCCCCTCCTGTTCTCGCCCCTTAAAGAACCCACTGTTGGTTTTTCATGATTTTTCTTTTAAATACTTTTTAATACCTTTCCTCAGGAAAGTTATGTAATGCTACAAGGTGCTCATCGCCTCTTCTCCAGGCTGGGCATTCCATAATGCAGAGAATGTGAGTGCCATTCACTACATCATTACACTGTAACTGGGTGCCTTGGTGACACCTCCTCAGGGGATGTGTCCATAATGTTCTGCACACACAGTATGTCCTCACTGCAGCTGATAAACTCACGTTTAGGAGCTTTTCTGCGTTTTTTTCAGCAGCCCCTGAACTCACCCTAATGTTTTCCTCTGTTTCCATGTACACATCGTCCTTTACAGTCATTTACAGGCAGTTGAGTTTACAGTTGTTTTTTTTGAACGCACCAAACTTGCGTTCAGCAGTCGATTTTATCAGCGTTTCAAATGCAAAACGCTTGTAAACGTGTCTAAACTCGGCTAAACGCGGCAAATCACATTTATAAGCATTTGCGTTTGAAATTTTTTTTCAACTCTTCCAGTTCCCGATGCTGTCCAGAGCCTTTTTTCATCATGAAAAATGCATGCAAAGCGTTTTCACGGTGCTCAAATGGACAAAACACTGAACACAGGATGTTCCTACCAAGCTTGTCACACATTGTAATGACCAATTCACACATCAGACCTCTCCCACCCTTGGAAACAAAAGATATATTAATGATCATTCACACCTCAGACCTCTCCCACCCTTGGAAACAAAAGATATATTAATGATCATTCACACCTTAGACCTCTCCCACCCTTGGAAACAAAAGATATATTAATGATGATTCACACCTCAGACCTCTCCCACCCTTGGAAACAAAAGATATATTAATGATGATTCACACCTTAGACCTCTCCCACCCTTGGAAACAAAAGATATATTAATAATCATTCACACCTCAGACCTCTCCCACCCTTGGAAACAAAAGATATATTAATGATGATTCACACCTCAGACCTCTCCCACCCTTGGAAACAAAAGATATGTTAATGACCATTCACACCTCAACTTCCTTATGAAGACCCCCTGCCAGGTGGCCTTAATGACTCCCTCCAGCAGACACCTTCCCACCCTTGGAAACAAAAGAAATGTTAGTGAGCAACTCACACCTAAGCTAATGTCAACACATACTGCTGCCTCTGCTTCTACTCTCTGTATTTCTCTGAAACAGTCTGAAATAGTTAATTTAACACTTTTCACTTTTCAGTGCATTATGGGCATTTGGGAGGTTCTCCTGTGCTTACTTTTAAAAAAAGCTTCTAAACGCAAACGCACATAAACGTGTTATACAAACGCGGCTAAACAGATATTTTTTAACCTACATTTTCCAGCAGTCAGTTTCCATCGATTAGAAGTGTCCCGTGTACATGGGGCCTAAGAGTCAGCTTGGCAGCGCACCCCCTAGCTGTTTCTGTCTGGGCACTTTGTCAGCAAGGATTCCAACTGCACTATCTGACATACAGTAGATAGCCAGGAGAACAGATTTATGCTTGAAATAAAAGTCAGGAAAATATGGCACAGCAAGGACATGAAGTCACATCAAAATGACTTTCAGGTAAACTGTTCAATAACGACCTACAATGTGAACATACAGCGAGGTTCCCCCTCTAATTCTGTAGACAAGAAAGAAGTGGACATTCTATGACAAACAATGGCATCCTTAGGTGACTTTACTGATTCTAAGGACATTGCCAGGCTATGCCGTACTCTATCTCTGCCATACCTGCCATCATCCTGCCCTCCCAGTGACACCAGGTATTGATCGTTTGGTGAGAATTCCAGGGCCTCCACCTTCACCTTGTGCAGGGTCAGTTTTCCGCATGACTCTTTCTTAGCATAATCCCACAACAAAATGTCCGCCTAGAGAGTCAGAGAAAAAAAAAATGACTTACAGTATTTTTAAGGCCACATGCACACTGCGTGTTTAGCCCGATGCTCGGGGGTGCGGCTCGAAGGTACAGGCGCATTGTCAAGCCTCGCTGCTGGCAGTCTACCCTGGCCTGCCTTCCTCTGGATCAACTGTGGGTGTAGGATTTTTTTCTATGGTTGAACTGGATGGACTTTTGTTTTTTTTCAGCCAGACTAACTAGTGTATGTAAAGTGTATGAGAAGCTGATAGCTGCCGGACGGGGCACTGAGTGGTATGTATGTGTAGTGCAGTATGCACCCAGAATGCAGACTGTGCACTGAGCATTCATCCATGGTCACATACTGCACCAATCAGTGTACCGTCCAGCCGCAGCAGCTCTCAGATTCTCATAGAGTTTGGCAGGGCCGCTGATAAGGGGGTAGCACCAGCCCTCTTGTATGAGGTCTGGGTCCCAGGGGGGGCTCGGGCAGCTTTATGGTGCAGACAGTTCCCCTTTTTTGCAGCATAGCTAGCTTTTCCTCCTCTCTCTCCTGCCAACTGTTAGCCACAGGAGGATAGGTTTCAGGGAATGGCCACCCTCCACCACTCCGATCACCCTTTCTCCTGTCCAGTATCCTTTGTTATCTGCAGCTTTAATCCCCTTGTGTGATTGGAGTGACTTTGGGTGGGGGGCCCATGGATTACAGCTCACTTTGGAGGGGTGGGGAGACCCCTGTCTCAGCTCCCTATATCCCTATTATGTGTAAGTCACCCTGTGCCTGTTAGGGGTGCAGGGTGAAATGTCCTGATATTGTGTAGACATGTCTAGGTGGGGTGGAGGTTGTTCATTGTTTACTGCCATGTGGTGCATCCCATTGTCTTATTGTGTGTCTTGCTTGGGAGCAAACTATTGTGGGATGTATGTGTTTGTGTATTGGCTTGGTGGGGGGGTGTCTGCTGATGTGTCTCTGGTTGCTAGATTTGGTTTTCTCCGCCCTGTGTCCATATGCAGGGGGGGGGTTGTTCCCTTGAATGTTTATATCTTGTGTCTGTGTTAAAATAAAGCAGTCTATTTCCTGGTTTCCTTCAAGTCTGGTTGTCTAGTCTTGTATGGCCAGCGGTGGGGTCCGTGGACAGTGTTTTGACACGGAAGCGGGAGTCTAATGGAAATACCCTAGTGCAGGCGGGGTCCGGTTCCGTTACACCTCGTATCCCCCCTCTCCCCCGTGTTTACTATGCTTTAGTTTGTGAATGAACAGGGAGCCTCTGTATAGAGTGCTTCCTGTTCATTCATTCATTCATTGGGCATTTGTGTCCTTCACCACTTTCTCTCCCTCAAACCTGAGACATCAGGGGGTTTATTTACTAAAGCTGGAGAGTCCAAAATCAGACTCCCTTCTGCATAGAAACCAATCAGCTTCCAGGTTTCATTGCCAAAGCTTCATTGAACAAGCTGAGGTTAGAAGCTGATTGGTTTCTATGCAGAAGGGAGTCTGATTTTGGACTCTCCAGCTTTAGTAAATAAACCCCCAGGGGTCTGATTAGACCTCTTTAGATTTCATCAAATCCCACCAGAGCTATAAAAAATACAAACAATTGCAAAACAAATTATTTAAACAAAAAATAATAAAAGGCTTGTTCATACAGGTACTCCGGGCATGTGAATGAGTGGTTTGTCCATGTGGCTGGAGCCATGTTTGGGGTCATACACCTGCACCCACCCAGGCATTTGGGGGAGGGGCCTGTCATGTAGGCTGGAGCATGGGGGGCCCCATGATTTCTAACAAAAGCAATGGCTTGCAGTGTACCTTCCAGCCTCACCTATACACCAGAGGGTCAAACACTGGGGCTAGACGCTAGTTGTGAATGTACAGGATTCTGAAGAACATAGTAAATATGAGAGGGTTTTAGACGGATTGTGGGAAGCTGACCTTGAATCCCATGTAGGTGACTTGCCCCGATGCCAGGTACCGTCCGTTTTTGGAGACGGCCACGCAGGAGACGTTGTTGGTGTGGCCGTGGAGAAAGTGCTGCTTGTGTTTGCTGAGACTCTCAATCACGACGGTGCATCCTAAGGGGTAGACGAGGTGCTCCCTGTCCGGGTGAGAGATCAGCCCAGAGGGCACGTGGCCTGGAACGGTAAGGTAAGATCGCAACATGGAGGCCACCTTCCATCACCAGCTACAACAGATCCAACAGCCAACCACACTTTCACAGACTGATGGTGGCTCTTCCTAATTTTTTTTTCTTTTTTTTTTAAACATTACAGCATGTGCGCAGTGAAGAGACCCTGTCGTTGCCGTACTCCCTGAGCTAGGAATTGCTGGATTGTTCTCTTATCCCTCCTGCATACTTGTCCATTATCTCTGTGATTGAACCAAAATTAGTGTGCAACCAGGAGGTGGAAGATGGCAGCTGCTTCGAGAGGCTGGTAGTCATCAAGATGGTTCAAACCTTGTTACAGCAGAAATCTGGGAACTGCCACCGCTGTGGTCTTTGACCACTCACCAGCCATGTCAACCACCTGACCTGCCGCACATTGTCTTTCAACTTCTTAGTAGGCAGCACGTGAGGTCAATGCAATCAATGTCAGACATCAGTGACCTTGGACCTCAACGCTAGTCAAGGCAGAAGTATGGGAACTGCCACTGTGGAAGGTCAAGGGTCAACTAAAGTTTGAAAACTGCTGATCTGTCAACTATCTGAAATCCCGTATGCTGCCTCCCAGCTACTTAGTAGGCAGTGCTTGAGGTCCGACACTTATCAAGGCAAACAATGTCAGACATCAGTGACCTTGGACCTCAACACTTCTCATGACAGAAGTATGGGAACTGTCACTGTGGAAGGTCAAGGGTCAACTAAAGTCTGAAAACTGCTGGTCTGTTAACTATCTGAAATCCCGTATGCTGCCTCCCAGCTACTTAGTAGGCAGTGCTTGAGGTCCGACACTTGTCAAGGCAAACAATGTCAGACATCAGGCGGCCTTGGACCTCAACGCTAGTCAAGGCGGAAGTATGGGAACTGCCACTGTGGAAGGTCAAGGGTCAACTAAAGTCTGAAAACTGCTGGTCTGTCAACTATCTGAAATCCCGTATGCTGCCTTCCAGCTACTTAGTAGGCAGTGCTTGAGGTCCGACACTTGTCATGGGAAACAATGTCAGACATCAGTGACCTTGGACCTCAACACTTCTCATGACAGAAGTATGGGAACTGCCACTGTGGAAGGTCAAGGGTCAACTAAAGTCTGAAGACTGCTGGTCTGTCAACTATCTGAAATCCCGTATGCTGCCTCCCAGCTACTTAGTAGGCAGTGCTTGAGGTCCGACACTTATCAAGGCAAACAATGTCAGACATCAGGTGACCTTGGACCTCAACGCTAGTCAAGGCAGAAGTATGGGAACTGCCACTGTGGAAGGTCAAGGGTCAACTAAAGTTTGAAAACTGCTGATCTGTCAACTATCTGAAATCCCGTATGCTGCCTCCCAGCTACTTAGTAGGCAGTGCTTGAGGTCCGACACTTATCAAGGCAAACAATGTCAGACATCAGGTGACCTTGTACCTCAACGCTAGTCAAGGCAGAAGTATGGGAACTGCCACTGTGGAAGGTCAAGGGTCAACTAAAGTCTGAAAACTGCTGGTCTGTCAACTACAGTGAAGGAAATGAGTATTTGCTCCCCGGCTGATGTTGAATGTTCGCCCCTCACACAGAAATGATCGGTCTAACAATGGAATATGGTCGGTGTATTATAACACTGAGAGACAGAATACAACAACAAATTCAGCAGAAATGCGTCTAACAAATGATGACTGATCTGCATGTTCATGAGGGAAAGAAGGATTGGATCCCCTTCACAAAACATGACTTAGTACTTGGTGGCCAATCCCTTGTTGGCAATCACAGAGGTCAGACGTTTCCTTGAGTTGGCCCCCAGGTTCGCACACATCTCAGGAGGGATGTATATATTAGTATATATTAATATATAGATAGATCATATAAAATAAAAGTGACAACGTTACAAAGATCAGAAGACAGGCGGAGTCATCCTAGCGGGGCCCCTGCTGGGTTTGGGGCCCCTTCGCCTCTACCACAGAACATCACTCCCCCCTCTCACCATTGAAGCCGATGACGGAGTCCAGCTCCAGCTGCATGTCTCCCTCCTGGCCCTCGGACGCCATGTGTGGTGTTGCTCGGGCTCTGTCTGCAGCTTCCTCCCGTCTCCTAGTAACCGGCTCTTCCCTGTGTTTACCCGTTGCTGTGGGAACCGTGCTCTGCGCAGGCGTGCTGATACGTCCAACGAGGAGGCGTCTCCCTTTCCAAGTTCTCGCGTGCGGCATCCGCGGGTTTTCTGCGTAGCACGCATGCGTCACGAATAATGAGCTTTCCTGACGGGTTGCTGATTGGGGATATAGGCAGTCCTCGCAGTAATGGAGGGGTACAGAATGTGGGGGTACACAGTGGGGTGTGATGGGAGTACAGAATGTGGGGGTACACAGTGGGGTGTGATGGGGGTACAGAATGTGGGGGTACAGTGGGGTGTGATGGGGTACAGAATGTGGGGGTACACAGTGTGGTGTGATGGGGGTACACAATGGGGTGTGATGGGAGTACAGAATGTGGGGGTACACAGTGGGGTGTGATGGGAGTACAGAATGTGGGGGTACACAGTGGGGTGTGATGGGGGTACAGAATGTGGGGGTACACAGTGGGGTGTGATGGGGTACAGAATGTGGGGGTACACAGTGGGGTGTGATGGGGGTACAGAATGTGGGGGTACACAATGGGGTGTGATGGGAGTACAGAATGTGGGGGTACACAGTGGGGTGTGATGGGGGTACAGAATGTGGGGGTACACAGTGGGGTGTGATGGGGTACAGAATGTGGGGGTACACAGTGGGGTGTGATGGGGGTACAGAATGTGGGGGTACACAGTGTGGTGTGATGGGGGTACAGAATGTGGGGGTACACAGTGGGGTGTGATGGGGTACAGAAAGTGGGGGTACACAGTGGGGTGTGATGGGGGTACAGAATGTGGGGGTACATAGTGGGGTGTGATGGGGGTACAGAATGTGGGGGGTACACAGTGGGGTGTGATGGGGTACAGAATGTGGGGGTACACAGTGGGGTGTGATGGGGGTACAGAATGTGGGGGGTACACAGTGGGGGTGTGATGGGGTACAGAATGGGGGTACACAGTGTGGTGTGATGGGGGTACAGAATGTGGGGGGTACACAGTGGGGTGTGATGGGGTACAGAATGTGGGGGTACACAGTGGGGAGTGATGGGGGTACAGAATGTGGGGGTACACAGTGGGGTGTGATGGGGTACAGAATGTGGGGGTACACAGTGGGGTGTGATGGGGGTACAGAATGTGGGGGTACACAGTGGGGTGTGATGGGTGTACAGAATGTGGGGTACACAGTGGGGTGTGATGGGGATACAGAATGTGGGGGGTACACAGTGGGGTGTGATGGGGTAACAGAATGTGGGGGTGCACAGCAAACTATAATGGGTGTGCACATTGGGGTGTAATGGGGGTGTGAAATGTCGGGGTGCAGAGTGAGATATAATAGGGTCTGCACAGTAGGTTTAATGGGGGGTACACTGAGATATAATGGGGGAACAGAATGTGGGGGTGCACTGTGGAGTGTAATGGGACAAAATGTGGGGGTGCACAGTGAGGTGTAATGGGGGTAAAGAATGTGGGGGGTGCACAGTGAGGTGTAATGGGGGTAAAGAATGTGGGGGTGCACAGTGAGGTGTAATGAAGGTAAAGAATGTGGGGGGTGCACAGTGAGATATAATGTAGGTTGCTTAGTAGGTATAAGGGGGGTATAGAATGTGGGGGCTCACAGTGGGGGTGTAATGGGTGTACAGAATGTGGCGTGCACAGTGAGGTGTAGTGGGGTGCACAGTAGGTGTAATGGGGTATAGAATGTGGGGGTGCACAGTGAGGTGTAGTGGGGGGTGCACAGTTAGATGTAATGGGGGGTGCACAGAGAGGTGTAATGGGGAGACAATGTGGAGGTGCACACTGAGATAAAATAAGGTGCATAGCAAGATATAATAGGGGTTGTATAGCAGGTATAATGGGGGTATAGAACGTTGGGGTTCACAGTGAGGTATATTAGAGCTCCACAGTGGAGTGTAATGGGGGTACATACTGTGGAGGTGCACTGTGAAGTGTAATGGGGGTACAGAATGTGGAGGTGCACTGTGAGGTGTAATGGGGTGCACAGTAGGTGTACTGGGGATATAGAATGTGGAGATACATATTGAGGTATAATGGGGGGGGTGGACAGTGAGGTATAAATAAGGGTAAACAATGTGGAGAGTGCACAGTGAAGTGTAATGGGGGTACAGAATGTGGAGGTGCACAGTGAAGTGTAATGGGGGTACGGAATGTGGAGGTGCGCAGCAAGATAAAAATGGGGGTTGCATAGAAGGTATAATGGGGGTATATAATGTTGGAGTTCACAGTGAGGAATATTAGGGGTTCACAGTGAGGTGTAATGGGGGTAAGGAATGTGGAGGTGCACAGCGAGATATAATGGAGGTTGAATAGTAGGTATAAAGGGGGGTATAGAATGTGGGGGTTCACAGTGAGGTATATTAGGGGTCCACAGTGGGGTGTAATGGGGGTACAGAAAGTGGTGTGTACAATGAGGTTTAATGGGGTGCACAGCAAGATATAATGGGGGTGCACATCAGGTGTACTGGGGGTATAGAATGTGGGGGTGCACAGTGGGGTGTAATGGGTTTATAGAATGTGGGGGTGCACAGCAAGATATAATGGGGTGCACAGGTATAACAAGTTTGCACAGTATGGTATAATGGGTTCATAGAATGTGGGGGTGCACAGGGAGATATAATGGGGGTGCACAGGTATAATAGGTTTGCACGGTATGGTGTAATGGGTTCATAGAATGTGGGGGTGCACAGGGAGATATAATGGGGATACACAGTGTGGTGTCATGGGTTTATAGAATGTGCGGGTACACAGTAGATGTAATGGGGGTATAGAATGTGGGGGTGCACAGTGAGCTTTAATAGGAGTACTTAGTGGAGTGTAATCGGTTTATAAAATGTGGGGGGGCACAGTGAGATATAACGGGGGTGCACAGTAAGTGTAATGGGGTATAGAATGTGGGGGTGCACAGTGAAGTATAATAGGGATGCACAGTAGGTGTAATGGGTTCATAGAATGTGGGGGTGCACAGTGAGATATAACGGGGGTGCACAGTAGGTGTAATGGGGTATAGAATGTGGGGGTGCACAGTGAAGTATAATAGGGATACACAGTGAGGTGTGATGGGTTCATAGAATGTGGGGGTGCACAGTGAGATATAACGGGTGCACAGTAGGTGTAATGGGGTATAGAATGTGGGGGTGCACAGTAGGCTTAATGGGGGTATAGAATGTGGGGGTGCACAGTAGGTGTAATGGGGGTATAGAATGTGGGGGTGCACAGTGAGATATAACGGGGGTGCACAGTAGGTGTAATGGAGGTATAGAATGTGGGGGTGCACAGTAGGTGTAATGGTATAGAATGTGGGGGTGCACAGTAGGTGTAATGGGGGTATAGAATGTGGGGGTGCACAGTAGGTGTAATGGGGGTATAGAATGTGGGGGGGGGCACATTGAGGTGTAATGGAGGGGTACAGAATGTAGGGGGGTATTGGAGGTTTCTGCCTGAAGTTGGTTGGTAGATCTGCTGGGTTTTGTTTGGTGCAGCACAAGCCTGTCCAGAGGTATCAGAGTCATTGGCCCTGAAGAAATGAGTCGAGTTGCTGCATAAGATGACATAAACTAGCAAAGGGTCCGAGGATTGGATGTGGAAATGTCTATGATTGGCCGCGGCCAACTCCTCACATACAGTTTTCTACACTGTAATAATATTTCTGTGTGATGATGTGCGACAACCCAACAACCTATATTTTATAGTCCAGCTCTAAATTATCTTTGGAACAAGAGCTTCGGTGACATAGCTGTGATATGTTCTTCCCATGAACCTGTCATGTACCTCATTAGCTGTATCACACAGGATGGGGGTGTTTAGTCTTTACATGATCGTTACTAGAGATGAGCGAATTATTCAAAAATTCGATTCGGCCGATTCGCCGAATTTGCGGGAGAAATTCGATTCAATGCGAATTTATTCGCCGCGAATTTAACTTATTTAAAGGGTTTCTAGGCTTCAGAGAGCCTTTATATTAGTGCAGAACACTGTACCTTTAATTTAAATGCCCTTGGAGTCTGCTGGGGAAGAGAAATAATACTGTCAGTCAGTATGACATGCAGATGAGTGCCGTCGATCTTAGAATCACCGCACACTTCACTCATTTGGGCAGTCACGGGGCACGACGAAGAAGAAGAAGAAGAAGAATGAAAAGAAGAATGAAAAGAAGAAGAAGAATGAAAAGGAGAAGAATGAAAAGAAGAAGAATGAAAAGAAGAATGAAAAGAAGGATTAAAAGAAGAATGAAAAGAGGAATTAAAAGAAGAATGAGAAGAATGAAAAGAAGAAGAAGAAGAATGAAAAGAAGAAGAAGAATGAAAAGAAGAAGAATGAAAAGAAGAAGAAGAATGAAAAGAATAAGAAGAAGAATGAAAAGAAGAAGAAGAATGAAAAGAAGAAGAAGAAGAATGAAAAGAAGAATGACAAGAAGAAGAAGAAGAATGACAAGAAGAAGAATGAAAAGAAGAAGAAGAATGAAAAGAAGAAGAAGAAGAATGAAAAGAAGAAGAAGAATGAAAAGAAGAAGAAGAAGAATGAAAAGAAGAAGAAGAAGAATGAAAAGAAGAAGAAGAATGAAAAGAAGAAGTATTCCAGTACAGCAAAAAGTGTATCTGCAGAGAGCTCCGCTATTTCTGACAGTTCTCTGACAGTTCCTTCACATTTACAGCGGTTGAAACATTGTATCTATTTATTTCCAAATAAAAACATCTGTATCCTAAATGGAAACAAATAGATACAATGTTTCAACCGCTGTAAATGAACTGTCAGAACTGTCAGAAATAGCGGAGCTCTCTGCAGTGACACTTTTGCCGGCTGATCGGGAAAAATTCGATTTGTGCACCCGAAGTTTGCTAAAATTCGGATTCGATGCGAATCGAATTTTTCCTGAAATTCTAAACGAATTCCACTTCGCCAGGTTCGATTCGCTCATCTCTAATCGTTACCTCTGCATACAGTAGACATGTTTTATCATTAGAGTCATGAACATTGTACAAAACATAACTCTAATTCAAAAGTTAGACTGCAAATGTGTATCACATACCAGACAAGGGCAGATTACAATCTTCCATTAGCAGGCATGGATTGAGATGCATCATGGCAAGTCCCTCACATACGGGGAGGAAGGACGCCTGGACTACATACACTCACCAGGCTCTTTATTAGGTCCACCTGTTCAACTGGTGGTAACACAAATTTCTAATTATCCAATCACATGGCAGCAACTCAATGCATTTAGGCATCTAGACATGGTGAAGATGACTTGCTGAAGTTCAAACTGAGCATCAGAATGGGGAAGAAAGGGGATTTAAGTGAAGTGGCATGGTTACTGGTGCCAGACGGGCTGGACTAAGTAATTCAAAAACTGCTGATCTACTGGGATTTTCATGCACAACCATCTCTAGCATTTACAGAAAATGGTCCGAAAAAGAGACAATATCCAGTGAGCGGCAGTTGTGGAGGAAAACGCCTTGGTGAGGTCAGAGGAGAATGGGTAGACTGGTTCGAGATGATAGAAAGGCAAAAGTAACTCAAATAACCACTCATTACAATGAAGGTATGCAGAATACCATCTCTAAATGCACAACACAGCCAAACTTAAAGCAGATGGGCTACAGCAGCAGAAGACCACACCCGGTGCAACTCCTGTCAGCTGAGAACAGGAAATGGAGGCTACAATTGCCAAAATTGGACAATAGAAGATTGGAAATACATTTCCTGGTCTGATGAATCTGGATTTCAGCCGCGACATTCAGATGGTAGGGTCAGAATTTGGCATAAACAACATGAAATCATGGATCCATCCTGCCTTGTATCAATGGTTCAGGCTGGTGGTGGTGTCAAGGTGTGGGGGATCCATCCTGCCTTGTATCTACGGTTCAGGCTGGTGGTGGTGTCATGGTGTGATGGATCCATCCTGCCTTGTATCAATGGTTCAGGCTGGTGGTGGTGGTGTCATGGTGTGGTGGATCCATCCTGCCTTGTATCAACGGTTCAGGCTGGTGGTGGTGGTGTCATGGTGTGGTGGATCCATCCTGCCTTGTATCAATGGTTCAGGCTGGTGGTGGTGGTGTCATGGTGTGGTGGATCCATCCTGCCTTGTATCAGCGGTTCAGGCTGGTGGTGGTGGTGTCATGGTGTGGTGGATCCATCCTGCCTTGTATCAACGGTTCAGGCTGCTGGTGATGGTGTGGTGGATCCATCCTGTCTTGTATCAACGGTTCAGGCTCATGGTGATGGTGTCATGGTGTGGTGGATCCATCCTGCCTTGTATCAATGGTTCAGGCTGGTGGTGGTGGTGTCATGGTGTGGTGGATCCATCCTGCCTTGTATCAGTGGTTCAGGCTGGTGGTGGTGTCATGGTGTGGTGGATCCATCCTGCCTTGTATCAGTGGTTCAGGCTGGTGGTGTCATGGTGTGGTGGATCCATCCTGCCTTGTATCAATGGTTCAGGCTGGTGGTGTCATGGTGTGGTGGATCCATCCTGCCTTGTATCAATGGTTCAGGCTGGTGGTGGTGGTGTCATGGTGTGGTGGATCCATCCTGCCTTGTATCAACAGTTCATGGATGTGCAGCCAACAAATCTGCCGCAACTATGTGATGCTATCATGGCAATATGGACCAAAATCTCTGAGGAATGTTTCCAACACCTTGTGGAATCTATGCCATGAAGAATGAAGGCAAAAGGGGGTCCAACCCGGTACTAGCAAGGTTGTCCCTAAGAAAGTGGCCGGTGAGTGTATGTGTGTGATGGAACCATACTACTGCATTCAGCCTCCCCCTCCAGCCTAGATGTGCCGCTGTAAGACTTTGCTTGGAACATACTCGTATATAGAACCACAGAGACCTGGTGATGACATTATTGGGTCTAATATAGGGTTTATAATGAACACAAAAAAAAAGATTTTATTCAAAAATTTTATTAGCAAGTTAGTGGGGAGGGGGGGCCACGGAAAGGCAAAATAAAAACAGAATAAACTAGTTGTCACCAGGATAGGAAGAGTCTTTTAATAGGGATACCTGCCCTACAACAGGGACACAGCCTGCAAAAAAATCGACCCTTCCCTACGTTATTCAAAGTAAATTTAGCCGCAGTTCCGTCTTAGCAAAACAGTTCAAACTGCACAACCCATGGACAGTAAGCAGAAGTTATTTAACGTGTTAAAGTGCTCTGAACTTTTCTCAAAGTACTTTATTGCTTTATTATGCTCATGTCCCATTAGCTGAGTAGACCTTCGTCTAGGTCAGTGGTCCCCAAACTGTGGCCCTGGGGCCATATGCGGCCCTTTGCCTGTGTGTATCGACACCACCCCCCATTGACTTCTCTGTCACATCCAACAACGCCACCATCAAACCCACCCCGCAGGCCAGAGTACTTGGTGTCATTCTGGACTCCAACCTATCCTTCCAGCCCCAATCCAATCTTTAACAAACTCATGCAGACTCCACCTCCGCAACATCGCCAAAATCCGCACGTTCCTAACCCCAGAAACCACTAAACAGCTCATCCACTCCCTCATCATATCACGACTCGACTACTGCAACTCCCTCCTCACTGGCCTGCCTCGCCGCTGGCTATCCCCGCTTCAGTCCATCCTGAATACGGCTGCCAGACTCATTCACCTCACCAACCGCTCCATCTCCGCCACCCCCCTCTGCCAATCCCTCCACTGGCTTCCGATTGCGCAACGGATCAAATTCAAAATCCTAACGCTGACGTACAAAGCCATCCACCATACTGCCCCGAACTACATCACCGACCTAATATCCAAGTACCACCCAACACGCACACTCCGCTCCTCACAAGACCTCCTTCTCTCTAGTTCCCTGGTCTCCTCCTCCCATGCCCGCCTCCAGGACTTCTCCAGGGTGTCACCCATCCTCTGGAACTCCCTGTCCCAACCCATCAGATTATCACCTACTCTCCTCTCCTTTAGGTGCACCCTGAAAACCCATCTCTTCAGGGAAGCCTACCCCACCCCCTGCTAACTTGCCGACCTCCTCCACTCTTCCTACCACTCCATCCCCCACAGCTATCTCCTCCTGTGCCACCATCCCCTCCCTCCTAGATTGTAAGCTCGAAAGAGCAGGGTCCTCGATCCCCTCATGTTTTGATTTGTATTGGTATTGTTCTGTCACATGTTCTGTCCCCCTTTGTAATGTACAGCGCTGAGCGAACTATTGGCGCTTTATAAATACTGTATTATAATAATAATAATAATCCAGCCCTTGGGGCACTATTCCTTTCACTGAGACACTATTTTGCCAACTGACACCAATGTTGGTACACCATTTCTCCCAGGGACACCAATAATGGGGCACTATTCCTTCCACTGTGGGATTTAAAGATGAAATGATGCCCTGGGAGGGACATTTTAAATGAAGCTCCGGACCATTTTAAATTCCAATTCCTTCCAAACTGTGACACTGGGACCAGATGTGGCCCTTTGCCTGCCTTTATCCAGCCCTTGGGGCGCTATTCCTTTCACTGAGACACTATTATGCCAACTGACACCAATGTTGGAACACCATTTCTCCCACCAACAATGGGGCACTATTCCTTCCAATGATACCATCAATGGGGCACTATTCCTTCCAATGATACCATCAATGGGGCACTATTCCTTCCAATGATACCAACAATGGGGCACTATTCCTTCCAATGATACCATCAATGGGGCAGTATTCCTTCCAATGATACCATCAATGGGGCAGTATTCCTCCCCCTAATACCAAATGTGGCAATGTTTACACCCACTGATGCCAGGAAAATGTCCACTGCTGCTGGCAAAAGTCCGGCCCCCTAAAGTCTGATGAACAATAAATTAGTCCTTTGTTTAGAAAGTTTGCAGACCCCTGGACTAGGTGCTAGAGGCCATTTTGTGGTGCAATTGCAGTACTGTCCGTATCCACTAAGGCTAGTTTGAAAAACAAGTTTGAAATGCACAAAATACATAGAAAAACTAAAATGTGTACATAAAAACTTTTTTTTATATACAGTAGTTGTGTAAAGGGGCTTTTGCAGCACAAACAGTCCATATTTCAGAATTCTGCTCCCGAAATTAATATGGCTGCCTTATCTGCTCATGGCAAAGGTTTTTTTCAGTTTTAATATCACGTCTTTATTTGACACAGTTGCTTGTTCTTGGTCTTTCAATCTACTGTGTCTTCAAAGTCTAAGTAAAAAATTTGGATGGACAGCAGAGACGCAGGAAAATGTGTAGTCATTTTGTATGGATAAGAGCGTGGTGCCAGCTCCAGTCGCCCATCTTTAATTTAAACAATTGTCTTTTCCTGTGGCTCATCTGGGCATTTAGGAATTTTGGCAGCCCCAGACCTCCAGGTGCTGGATGTGAAAGTTCTCCTCACAAAGTGGCGGGTTGTCAAAGGTCTCACAGTGCTCCGTCCGCCCGATGTTCAGATCTGCGTCAATGTTCAAGGCCTGACCCCCACCACCACCTGGAATGGAGCAAACAAGAATGATTGGTCAGCTGGAAAAAAAATATTCGAAAGACAACAGAATTTACACTATACAGCCAAAGGTATGTGGGCACGTGGCCATCACACCTACATTACAATGTTCAAGACCTGACCCCCCCACCATCACCTGGAATGGAGCAAACAAGGAGAATGGTCAGCTGGAAAAAAAATATTCTAAAGACAACAGAATGTACACTATATGGCTCAGGGTATGTGGGCACGTGGTCATCACACCTATATTACAGTGTTCAATGCCTGACCCTCCACCACCACGTGGAATGGAGGAAACAAGGAGAATGATTGGTCAGTTGGAAAAAAAATATTCGAAAGGCAATATAATTTACACTATACGGCCAAGAGTATGTGGGCATGTGGCCATCACAGCTACATTACAATGTTCAAGGCCTGACCCCCCACCACCACCTGGAATGGAGCAAACAAGGAGAATGGTCAGCTGGAAAAAAAATATTCCAAAGACAACAGAATGTACACTATATGGCTCAGGGTATGTGGGCACGTGGTCATCACACCGACATTACAGTGTTCAAAGCCTGACCCCCCATCACCACCTGGAATGGAGCAAACAAGGAGAAGGATTGGTCAATTGGAAAAAAAATAATCGAAAGACAACAGGATTTACACTATATGGCCAAAGGTATGTAGGCACGTGGCCATCACACCTAAATTACAATGTTCAAAGCTTGACCCCCCCCCCACCACCACCAGGAATGGCACCAGGGTATGTGGCACGTGGCCATCACATCTACAACTGTATGGCCAAATGGATGTAGCCATGTCTCAGGTGTTTCCAATTAATGGTTGTGTCAGTGCCACAGCATACTAAGACATTTTACAGAAGTCCTTCTCAACCGTCAAAGAAATTTTAGATCAGTTCTTCTCAACTTTAACATAGAGGAGCCTTTGACTTTCAGGTCTTGAATAACACCTGGTAATATCTACAGCTCAGTACACTTTGGTTGAACGATACGTTGAGATATAAGGATAAAAAAAAAAATGTTTGGGTGCTTAGCACATTTTAAACCCAAAGCCGTTCTATATGACACAAAAAAAACGCAGTGAAAATGTAAGTGTTCTCTCACATTGGTGGTAAGTAACGAAATGTTCACTCACTAGAGGTTTGCACGACGAAAACATTTGTTTTGTTTTGGAGTCATACGTTAAAGTAGAACTATACTGTAGACAAAAAATGTTTTTCCGGTTTGGATAGCGCAAGGAAAGGTTATAACCCGCCAGATTTGTTTTTTTTTTCCATCTGTGTCCCATTGGAAAGATTTCCATTCACTTCCTGTTTCATAGCCAAACAGGAAGTGAGATGAAATCCCTGCAACTTAAGGGTATTCTTTGGGGACTCCCAGGTTCCCCATTGGAAGATTTCTCCTCTATTATTTTTCTGGGGACAACCCAAAATGTGGGATTTTTTTTCACTTTCGATGATAATGGTAAACAGGACAAATAGGATGAATCGGGGCACAGACAGCAATAAAAATCTGACGGGTTCTAATCCCTCTCCACTCTATCCAACTCTAAAAAAAAAAAAAAGGTTTGCCTTTAATCATACTTTAAGTAAATAATTTTATTTCATCGTATTTGTTATGCTAGAATGACTTGTTTTTGGTATTTGTTTTGTATATTCGGATTCATTTTGTACGTTCGTTGTTCCGAATTGATTCATACTTTCAGAAGTTATTTTGGAAGATTGGCTTTATTAGTTTTAATTTGTTAATTTGGGAGATTACTTATACACTCCGAGTCATCCGTGCGAGTCCAGCCCACAAAACCAATGGAATGAGATGATTGAATGATATTGACTGGAGTAGCAAGTGGAATAAAATTAATTGTGGATTCATTTGTTATGGTATGATTTGGAGATTCTAATGGATTCACCTCCATCCAACGCAAACACAATAAATATGAATCATTTTATTTCACTTTTATACCTTACTGTGCTTATTGCAATATGTGTCTATTTCATATGTGCTGCATTTTTTTTTATAATAATGAATTATGTTAATGCAAAATAAAAATTAAATGGAGCCAAATCAATTTGAATCATTCGTTAGGTCATTATGTTATTTTGGATGCTTCAAACATTAACAAAAGGCCTAAACTATCGCATCATGTCATCCAAATAAAACAAATGGATATGAATTAATTTATTGTTCCATTGTAATTAATTTTGCATTCGTTGAAGTTCGTTACTATTGAGATTCGGAGATTTGGTTATATCTGAATCTCCAAGTAGTGAAAATTTTGGCCAAATTTCAATTCCATAACGAAACGAATCACACATGTCTATCACTTACATTGGTGGTCAATGAAATGCCCCATTGTACTGGTGGTCAGTGTCATCTTATCATGGTGGTCAATAAATGCTTCCCTACATAGTTGATCAGTGTGTGAAGGTCAGTAGAAAAATACTCTTTACTGATAGCTTTAAAAAAAAATTGGTGGTAGTGGTTGTTTATCTGAGAATCAGAAATTGCTCACGAAACCCCTACCAACCCTTGAAGCAACTCTAGTTGAGAGACTATTTCAGACAGCTCTCACTTCCAACCTTGAAGCAACAGTTATGGAAAGGCCAGCTTCAGCATGATTGTGCCACTGTGTACAAAGCCAGCTCCATTAAGACATGGGTTGACCAGTGTGGTGTGAAGAAAATGGAGGGCAGACCTCTCTAGGCTTGAGTCGTGACCTTAAGCCTTTTGAACATCTCTCGGATTATTTGGAACGCTGATTTTGAATTAGCTCTTCTCGTTCTAACATCAGTACCTGACCTCACAAATGCTCTTTTGGCTGAATGATCATAAGTTCCCACAGACACACTTCACAAACTTGTGGAAAGCCTTCCCAGAGAAGTTGAGGCCAACATAGCAGCAAAGCAAGACTAGCTCCATAAAAATGTCCATGGGTTTAGAATAGATGCCCTGATGCCTTCAAAGGAGTCTGTCTATAGTCATCCTCTTAAGTAGCCCTGGGAAGTAGTGGCTGCTACCTGAAAAGTCAAGCTCTGGGTTTAGAATAGATGCCCTGATGCCTTCAAAGGAGTCTGTCTATAGTCATCCTCTTGAGTAGCCCTGGGAAGTAGTGGCTGCTACCTGAAAAGTCAAGCTCTGGGTTTAGAATAGATGCCCTGATGCCTTCAAAGGAGTCTGTCTATAGTCATCCTCTTGAGTAGCCCTGGGATGTAGTGGCTGCTACCTGAAAAGTCAAGCTCTGGGTTTAGAATAGATGCCCTGATGCCTTCAAAGGAGTCTGTCTATAGTCATCCTCTTGAGTAGCCCTAGGAAGTAGTGGCTGCTACCTGAAAAGTCAAGCTCTGCCACCTTCCCCATGCCTCAATGCAATGTGATGAACTTCAGTCACAAACAGAAAAGCACAAGTTGCATGGGAGGCAGGTCGAGAGTAGCAGTATCGCAGGGGAAAAAAAGAACAATAAATCGAGAAGCACAAAATATTGCATATAGTGAGCCGCAGAATGTAAGTTAATACAGTATGGTCCCACTGACATGCATATGTTCACTTTCAGCAACAATGTTATGAGCTCTGTAAAAGGGTCGGCCCAAAAAGATGATATGTCAGTTGAAGGTAGAGTCTAGGAGGTTTAGTTTCTTGCTGGTTTGTTATGTCTTTGGAGGCCTGCAATGGCAAGATCTCCCTTGACATTATTTAGGTCCACCTTGGTGTACCATTTGTTCCTGACCACCTTGGTTTGCCACATGTTCCCATCAACATCGGTTTGACTTGTTTTCATGTCCTCCGTGGTATGCAGATGTTCCCACCCACACTGCTGTGCCACATGCTCCCACCCACCTTGATTTGCCATGTGTTCTTGCCTCTCTCTCTCTCTCTATCTACACACACAATGTGTGCCCCCCATCTTGCTGTATCATCTGTTCCTGCCCATCTTGGTCTTCCCACCTTAGGGTCCATGTCTAATTTTTGCATTCTCAGGATATAATCTAACAGATAGATGGCATCGCTGCTTCAAATGTGAAGATCTGGGAGAGTGAAAGCTGTACCATGTGTTCCTACTTATCTTGGTCTTCCCACCTTAGGGCCTATGTCTACCACTTGCATTCTCGGGCTATAATCCAACAGATAGATAGCATTGCTGCTTCAAATGTGAAGATCTGGGAGAGTGAAAGCTGTACCATGTGTTCCTACTTATCTTGGTCTTCCCACCTTAGGGCCCATGTCTACTTTTTTCATTCCCTGGATATAACCCAACAGATAGATGGTGTTGCTGCCTCAAATGTGAAGGTCTGGGAGAGTGAAAGCTGTTCCATATGTTCATACTTATCTTGGTTTTCCCACCTTAGGGCCCATGTCTACTATTTGCATTCTCTGGATATAACCCAACAGATAGGTGGTGTTGCTTCCTCAAATGTGACGATCTGGGAGAGTGAAAGCTGTTCCATGTGTTCCTATTTATCTTGGTCTTCCCACCTTAGGGCCCATGTCTACCATTTGCATTCTCTGGATATAACCCAACAGATAGGTGGTGTTGCTTCCTCAAATGTGACGATCTGGGAGAGTGAAAGCTGTTCCATGTGTTCCTATTTATCTTGGTCTTCCCACCTTAGGGTCCATGTCTACTCTTTGCACTCTCTGGATATAATCCAACAGATAGATGGAGTTGCTGTCTCAAATGTGAAGATCTGGGGAGTCACAGCAGAAATCCCACCTCTGGAATCCCCAAAAGAAAGAAGAAGCCACCAAGTAGCCTAACTCTCCAGCATCTGCCATACACTAAAATACTGCTTTTTTTGAGGTCCAGCCCTTTAACACCACTACAGGTCATACTGCAGGAAACACATCTATCCAAAATGGTTCTCCTAGTCCTCTTTTGCCTGGTATGTGTTTTTGCCCTCTATAATGGTTTCCACCAACCTTACCTATAATAAAACCTTGGCTGTTGCCAGACATAAACATGGAGGCTGTTTTGGAAGGCAGCTGGAAGTGACGTACAGACAGGAATGGAGATAATCGACTTGGGTTTCCTTCCACGGGGACAGTCAAGAAGTTGGAGGACTGTGAGGGGCTACTGGGCGCAGAGAACATCATAGGTGAATGAGGACGCTGAGGGGGCGGAGGGAGATGGGCACCATGGGAGTAAGAGCGAGGTCTGGAGCGTGGGGAAGGTGGGGCTACCTTTACCATCTCTGGCTTCTTCACCACAACCCACTCGTACCTCTCCATTTCTGGGTGGATCTGGGGAAGAGAAAACAAAAACTGTAAATCTAATATGTCTCAAAAGACATTTTTAACCTTTTCACGCCAAGCATACGCAATATGCGGCCTCTCAGTGGCTGGGTCTTGACACCAGGGGCGTACTGACCATTTGGAAACTCGGGCACTGCCAAGGGCCCGGGGTCAATATGGGGCCCCATGAGATGCCCCTGGTACCTTTTTCATAGGCTTTTTTGAGTTTGGGCAAGGACACAGGGGCCCCATGATCCCCTATTGCCGGGGGCCCCATGAGTTATCAGTCCGCCCCTGCTTGACACCGAGTGGCTGCATTTTTGCATACCATTGATAAAGAAACAAAAGAGTGCACCCTGATCGCTCCCCATGTGTCGGCGTCCCACGGAAAGGTCCCGATCTCTCCTTGCGATCGGAACCTTTCTGATCATGTAACTGCTGTGACAGCCAATCACGGCGGTCACATGACACTAAACCCTGCCCTGCCTCCCGGCATCAGAAAACCCTTAAAGGGCCGGGAGGTGTGAAGGGGTTAATGAAACACACTACATTCCCCCACACTTCCTACAATGAATGACATTTAAATCAGTTAAGAACTTTAAAGAATTTCACTAAGCCAAATTTTTACCTAAAAATAAAAAGCAGGCAATACAAAATACAAAAACAGTGCATTCCATTAAAAGTACATCTAGTGGCCATAATACATTAATTACTGTGCAATAGTATTAGGCAGGTGTGAAAAAAATGCTGTAATGAAGAATGCTTTCAGAAATAGAAGTGTTAATACAGTAAGCCCCTGACTTACGAACGAGTTCCGTTCCGGGAGAACGTTTGTAAATCGGATTTGTTGGTATGTCTGACAAAGTGAGTCTTATACACCTTTGACACAAATATACAATGTAAAGCATAAAAAGAGACAAACACACAAAAATACTGTAAATAAACAATTTTTACTTTTATAGTTTACTTAAAATGGTGGTACAGTACAGGGGCGGACTGACAACTCATGGGGCCCCCGTGCAATAGGGGATCATGGGGCCCCTGCGTCTTTGCCCAAACTCAAAAAAGCCTATGAAAAAGGTACCAGGGGCATCTCATGGCCCCCTACTGGCCCCGGGCCCTCGGTCAGTGCCCAAGTTTTCAAATGGTCAGTCCGCCCCTGGTACAGTACCACAACTGGCATATAGTGGAAGAGAGTTACTAACTGGAGGAGGGAGGGTAAGTGGGAGATGGTGGAGCTGAAGGATCATCAGCAGTAGGAGATGGAGGGCAAGATGGAATTTGGCCCATACCTGATGTTGATGGAGCTGAAGGATCATCAGCAATAGGAGATGGAGGGCAGGTGGGAATTTGGCTCACACCTGATGTTGATGGAGCTGAAGGATCATCAGCAATAGGAGATGGAGGGCAGGTGGGAATTTGGCTCACACCTGATGTTGATGGAGCTGAAGGATCATCAGCAATAGGAGATGGAGGGCAGGTGGGAATTTGGCCTACACCTGATGTTGACAGAGCTGAAGGATCATCAGCAATAGGAGATGGAGGGCAAGATGGAATTTGGCTCACACTTGATGTTGATGGAGCTGAAGGATCATCAGCAATAGGATATGGAGGGCAAGATGGAATTTGGCTCACACCTGATGTTGACGGAGCTGAAGGATCATCAGCAATAGGAGATAGAGGGCAAGATGAAATGTCACTCACATCTGATGTTGACGGAGCTGAAGGATCATCAGCAATAGGAGATGGAGGGCAAGATGGAATTTGGCTCACACTTGATGTTGTTGGAGCTGAAGGATCATCAGCAATAGGAGATGGAGGGCAAGATGGAATTTGGCTCACACCTGATGTTGACGGAGCTGAAGGATCATCAGCAATAGGAGATAGAGGGCAAGATGAAATGTCACTCACATCTGATGTTGACGGAGCTGAAGGATCATCAGCAATAGGAGATGGAGGGCAAGATGGAATTTGGCTCACACTTGATGTTGTTGGAGCTGAAGGATCATCAGCAATAGGAGATAGAGGGCAAGATGAAATGTCACTCACATCTGATGTTGATGAGGTTGACAGGTTTTTTGATGGATTCAATTCTCTCTACCCTCTGGAAAAATGGATCCAGTGATGTCTGAGTAGTAGCTCTTTTTTTCTCATCATAGATGACTCTGTAGCACTGGATGGCATTCTGAACAGCTGTTGCAACCTTTGTGTATCGCTCTACATTGGGGTCCTGTGCCTCAAAAACTAACAGTGGCTCTTCAAGTAAGCCAATCACATGCCTCCCTGATGGTATGGCATGATGGATAAATATTTGCCTGTTTTTCTCAGCATTGAGGACACCACTGATCCTAACCAAATCTCCAACTCCATTTGCAGAAATGCAGCTCCAAACTTGCAAGCAACCTCCACCATGCTTCACAGTTACTTGTAGACACTCATTATTGCTCTCCAGTCTTTTGCAAACAAACTGCCTCCTCTACAGCCAAATATTTCACATTTTGATTTTCAGTCCAGACCACCTGCCGCCATTTTTCTAAATCCCATTTCCTATGTTTTCATGCATAGGACATGGAAACAAGGCTAAGGGACTCAACTATGCATGAAAATATAGGAACTGAGGTGCAGAAAAATGGCAGCAGGTGCTCTGGACTGATGATGCCCAGCAATGCATACTGTATGTGCAGCACGTGGGCATTGAAGCCCACCCTCTTGCCGCCACACATATGTGTTACATGGGAGGCAATGGGTTAAGCCAGTGTTTCTAAACCTTTTTCAGTCAAGGCACCCTTACAAATTATGGACAGGCTTGAGGCACCCCATTCTAAAATGTGAAAAACTATTCTAATAGTTTTATATAACACAGCAACATCCACACATGTAGGACACCCAACATTAGAGGTGATTTATTCTTCCAAAGCAAATACACTTTTTCACACTGGTACTGACTAGTATTCCATTGTTTCTCTTCTCCCTCAGTTTTTTTCCATCACTGAGCTAATGTGACCCCAGCACTGATGGAGAGGGGCGGGGGAGAGTCAAACTAGGATGCTGTGCAGGCAGATGACATCCTCCTTATCAACTGATGATGTCATTGGTTGTTAGGATACTGGCGGCTAGAAGGTCGACATGGTGCACAATGAAAACCTGTGACTTTGTGTAACTAAAAGGCGGGCTCATTCCACCCGCTGGCTTGTATACAAGTTTTGGGCAATTTTTAGACATTTTGCCAAGGCACCCCTGAAGAAACCTCAAGGCACCCCAGGGTGGTTGAGAAAGGCCGGGTTAAGCTATCTATAGACTGATTGAAATTCATCTGGTCCAGCATGAACTGTCCAAATTTTGTCAGAATACAATATTCCACATGGGGGATTCCTTCATCCACCCCATGTCCTACAACACTGGATGTAACCTGAAGTGCTGATCATGCAGGATATGCTTCTTCTAGGTATCTCAAGGCTTCATTTTCAACTTTGACTGCTACATATACATATACAGTATATATTTAAATACAAAAACATATTTTCAGTCTCCTTTATCTACATCTGGGACAACTTACAGTGAACACAAAGCATTCTCCAGTACCGAAAAAAGTGGCCACTTGTCCACAGCATTTCCTCCGTTCATTCCAGTCAGTAGAGAGGTAGGCTCCGCACACCTGCGAAACACACAGAGAGAGATACCATCTTCAGATCTCTCCAAACAGAAAATATATGAAGTATTCTTCCCTTACGGCCCTTCACATGCATGCGTTACCTGCATTTACTGCAAACCAAGTTGTCCATAAATAGTAGTGGGCAACGCACCCGCACTGCTGTATACCACAACATACATCCCGTGACTGCGTTACTAAAAATTGGACACGTCTGATTTCGGCTGTGTTATGGTGCGTTGGCAGAATAGACTTCCTTAACTTAACATGCATCTGTGAACACTACACAACACTACCATAAAGGGTGAATGGGTCCTTAGATGTACATATGAGTGAAAAAAATGGGCAGCCATATAAGGGGCTTTTGATTGGCTATATGTTGGTGCCAACAGAACAGGTCCCTGCCCTGGGTCCCTCTCCTGCTAGAGCAGCAACCTCCTGCTGAGGCTGTAACCCCCCAGTTCATGCCAGAGATCTCCTCCTGATATTCCTGGCTGTTAAACTTTAGATCCCCCAAGGAGGGAATGTCCACACACAAATAGGGCTGCTGCACTTTACTGGTGGTACTTGAAAGATGGCAGAAACTATCACATCACATATTGACATACTCTCCAGGGTCACTTGACAGTATATTTTTAATTATATTTAGTGGACGGTCCGCAGTAGTCATATGTGAAAGCTTTGTGCAGCACGTTTTAGTAAGCTGTCTTCCCTTAAACAGTCTCTCTCCACTTGGGGTCATTAGTACTCATTGAGATGGGATCTCTGCAGTCGCTACACCCCTCCCCATACCCTCCAGGGGGATAGCCGCACTCCAGGGAACTCTTGGCCTGGCTAAAAGGTCTTTTGCAACCCACCCTAGCCCCCACCTACGTAAGAGACAGGATGGCTACAGCTGACTCTTCTGGATGGGGGTCTTCCAGCCTCCAGCCGTGTCCAAGGCCTTGACTTGTTGGCTACATCTGCCTGATAGTGAGGTCTCTGGCTCCCATGCGCCAACTGCACTAGGGTTCCTCTCAAGCTAGCTTATAACTGGACTCTGACTAACCTATTATATCACTACAGGAGGGCTCTAACCAGGGGTGGACTGACAACTCATGGGGCCCCCGGGCAATAGGGGATCATGGGGCCCCTGTGTCCTCGCCCCACACCCAAAAAAGCATATGAAAAAGCCAATGAAAGGTACCAGGGGCATCTCATGGGGCCCCCTACTGACCCCGGGCGGGCCCTCGGGCAGTGCCCGAGTGCTTGAATGGTCAGTCCGGCCCTGGCTGTAACTAAAACAGGCCTAGCACCTGATGACACTGCTTTCTGTAACCAGACACTATTTTGCAACAGAGGCACCTAGCAGAAAACTAGCTAACTTCACCTGCTTACACAGCACAGCGACAAAGTGGTTGGACGTTTCTTTTCTACACCAAGGTCCCAGATTTATTTCCCAACAGGATCCCTATTTGTCCTTATCTGGTGTCACCGTTTCAGGTTGACTTCCACCCATAAAGGGGCTATCATGCGTATGATGGGATTTTGAGAGAAACCCAACAAAGATGAGACCGTACAAACTCCATATACACATCAGTGGTGGGAACAAAACCCAGGAGACAAGAAAACCAGAGAACATGGTGGATAAACACCAATTCTTTGGCAGAATTACTGTCTGCAGAATTTGTTGGCACTAAATTAAAAAACAAAAAGTAAATAGAGGTGTAATACTCACCTTTCTGGGACCTTACCACCATTACAGAGCTGCTGCCTCTGTCAGACCCTTTGGTGTTCAACACTTCTGGGACTGTCAGATGTCTATGTTCCGCACCACTTACTGTGGTTCCTTCCTCTGACCTTGGGTCCTGTACTGATGTGGGGGTTGGAGGAAGGAACATGAGGTGGAAAACACAGGTATTGAACAGTCCCCGATTGCTGAAGATACTGACGGAAGTTGCAACATAGGAGCAGAAGGACAGAGAGGCGCATATAATACATCTTCTGTTGAAAGAAGCTTTCCTTGAAGAAGTTTATCCAATCTCCCCATCACAGTCATGTACCCGTGACCGTGACAAAAAAAAAAAAAAAGGGACAGTTTGCACATAAGCCAGTTAACCTTGCAAGTAGGGTAGTGGATTTCTAGAGAAACCCAACCAAGACAAGATCATACAAACTCAATGTAGACATTATCTGGGGGGGAGAACCAAACCTAGGAGACCAGAAGACCAGAGGACACGGTGGATAAATATCAGTTTACTATGACTGTTTTACTGTCTGTATAATTTGTTGCCACTAAATGAAAAAAAATCAATAAAAATGTTTTAGTTATGTGTAGGAGCTCTTGATTACCTTGCTTGTAGTTGTCTTGATGAGCAAGACGGTAGGTTCACACCCTTCACAGCGGGAATAAAATCTGCAATTAGATATACAAGTATCACTGTTTCTGTTCAGGAAGGTTTCCAAGGCATCATGGGAGTGGAAAAGTGGAGCTTGTATCAGATATACACTATATTGCCAAAAGTATTTGGATGCCAGCCTTCACACGCACATGAACTTTAATTGCATCCCCACATTCACTATATCCGCTCTCCCCGGACCCCGCATTCACTATATCCGCTCTCCCCAGATCCTGCATTCACTATATCCGCTCTCCCCAGACCCTGCATTCACTATATCCGCTCTCCCCGGACCCTGCATTCACTATATCCGCTTTTCCCAGACCCCACATTCACTATATCTGGTCTCCCCGGACCCCACATTCACTATATCTGGTCTCCCTGGACCCCGCATTTACTATATCCGCTCTCCCCGGACCCTGCATTCACTATATCCGCTTTCCCCAGACCCCGCATTCACTATATCCACTCTCCCCGGACCCCGCATTCACTATATCCGCTCTCATCAGACCCCGCATTCACTATATCCGGTCTCCCCAGACCCCTCATTCACTATATCCGCTCTCCCCGGACCCCTCATTCACTATATCTGTTCTCCCCGGACCCCGCATTCACTATATTCACTCTCCATGGACCCTGCATTCACTATATCCGCTCTCCCCGGACCCCGCATTCACTATATCCACTCTCCCCGGACCCCGCATTCACTATATCCGCTCTCCCCGGACCCCGCATTCACTATATCCGCTCTCCCCAGACCCCTCATTCACTATATCCGCTCTCCCCAGACCCTGCATTCACTATATCCGCTCTCCCCAGACCCCGCATTCACTATATCCGCTCTCCCCGGACCCCGCATTCACTATATCTGCTCTCCCCAGACCCCTCATCCACTATATCCGCTCTCCTCAGACCCCGCATTCACTATATCTGCTCTCCCCGGACCCCGCATTCACTATATTCACTCTCCACGGACCCCGCATTCACTATATCCGCTCTCCCCGGACCCCGCATTCTCTATATCCGCTCTCCCCGGACCCCGCATTCACTATATCCGCTCTCCCCGGACCCCGCATTCACTATATCCGCTCTCCCCGGACCCCGCATTCACTATATCTGCTCTCCCCAGACCCCGCATTCACTATATCCGCTCTCTCCGGATCCCGCATTTTCTATATCCGGTCTCCCCAGACCCTGCATTCACTATATCCGCTCTCCCCGGACCTTGCATTCACTATATCCGCTCCCCCCGGACCCTGCATTCACTATATCTGGTCTCCCCGGACCCCGCATTCACTATATCCGCTCTCCCCAGACCCCACATTCACTATATCCGCTCTCCCCGGACCCTGCATTCACTAAATCCGCTCTCCCCAGACCCTGCATTCACTATATCTGGTCCCCCCGGACCCCGCATTCACTATATCCGCTCTCCCCGGACCCTGCATTCACTATATCCGGTCTCCCCAGACCCTGCATTCACTATATCTGGTCCCCCCGGACCCCGCATTCACTATATCTGGTCTCCCACAGTACACACAACATGGAAATGCAATTATTTTAGTAAATATAAACTGCTAAATATCTTTTCTCATCAGCAGTATATAGCATTCTTGTGACTTCTATCAGTGTCCAACAGAGCACTGATTAAAGCTTGTAGGCGTTTTCATTCTCTTCTGACTGTCCAATGAGGCTGCAGGACCCCTGACCCTCTGTCTGGACAGTGCTGATTGGCCCTGTGCTAATCACATGCACCCTCCGAAGAAAAGAAAATACTCTCTAGCAATACAGACCAAATTGAGCATGTGCAGCTTGCATCCAAGGCTCTGTACTAGCAGTAGATGGATTGTGGACAGTAGGAGAAGGGGAGGATCAGAGAAGACAGGATCAAACAGACTTTTTACACAATGCAGAGGATTAACCCCTTAGGTCCCACAGTGAGTATAAAAAGCATCCCTTACTGCATACACAGACTGATTGTACTGCTGTGGGTTTAGTGACACTTTAACTGCTGCCAGTTTTGACCAATCCAATGCCCAGTCATATCCTCAAAACAAGCCCCAAAACATGCAGTAATAATAATAGTGAGCGCTCTCTGTGATAGCAGCTGATACACTCAGGTAACCACGTAAAAACCTCTGGTGCAAAATAAATACAAATAAAGTGCAGCACTGCACTTTATTTGTAAGCCCCAAAACATCACAAAAGAAAGAGGATCCATAGGATCTACATCCTCAGGACATCTACGTGGACGAAACGCATAGGGTCGGGGCATGGCGAATTCTTATATGCAATTGTAATATCTCCCCTTGTGAGCACGTATTTAATTATTGGCTTGGTGATAGTGCGCTATGGATCCTCTTTCCTTTTTGTGGTAGTTTGGGGCTATTTCTGAGGCTACGACCGGGCGTTGGATCATTCTGAACCAGTAGCATACATTTGCACAATCATTTGGTGTCATTTGGGGGGGGGGGGGGGGTGCAGCGTCTTTGATCTACGTTTGTGAGATTAGTTTCATGCTTCTCTTTTGCATCATTTTTGGAATAATTTCTAAACTGTGCGCAAAAAGTGTTATTTTTTTACGCAGAGATCACTTTTTACGTGAAAACACAAAATGGCAAATTAGTACAGGAATCAAAGCATTTACATTTTGGCGGTAAGGGATTCTTCACACTAGCAGTTGGGAGTGGTAAAACGCTGCGGTCGAGTCATGCTTTTTATTGCCCCCACCACCACCTCCCTCTTTAGCTGCAGAGGCAGCGACCGTGGCTGTTTTTGCTTTGGAGAAAAAGTTATGCAGCCCTTAGATATTTGACTACTGACCTCTGTAAGCTGTAGCCATGTTCCAGCGTAGAGAAGAGCAGGACAGGGGGGGGGTACAAGGAAAACCGTTCCGGTATCCAGGACCAAACCACCCTCATTTCCTGAGCTGTGACAATTTCAGAGCTGAAATTTGAGATGTCCACTGACATATGCGCAGGCTGCCTGCCGAGAGATACAACATTGTGATTACATGATTATCGGGGTGGCAGGACTGTGCCAACCTCAGCGTAACAAAACTCATCTATATACAGTACAGGAACGCAGAATAAAATGAGCCCCCCCCTGCACGCGGGACGATTTGATAACGCTGGTAATGTTAGCTGTGTAAAGTCACGTTAAAAACATGAGGTATTCAGCTTTTTTTTGCGTTTTTGCATTAGCGTTTAGCCACGTTTTTACGCATTTTCGCTTTTTAGCATTAGAGCATTTTTACAGCTAAAAAACTTCTCTAGAAATCCACCAGTTCTGGGGGATTTTTCCAGCCAAAAAAACATTGATTCCAGTCTGTGTGTGTATGGATACATAGGATAACATGCTGGGGGGGGGTTTACTGCATGTAGAAAAAAACGCCAAAAGCAAAAAACAGCCGCTGTCCTCGTGCACACTTGATGTTTTTACAGTGGCTGTTTTTTTCTACAGTCAATATACTGTATATGTACTAATGCAGGCCATAGATGGGTTGAAAACTGTCCGTTTTAAAAAAAAAAACAAAACAAAAATCGGTCGTTCAATAGGCCGACGTTACCACCAACGGTAAAAAAATCGGCCGATTTTCATCCCGTCTACGGCCGGCATTTAATTACTTCTGTCACTGCAGAGAGCTCTGCTATTATATTTGACATGAAAAAGTCTTGCGGTTGCAACAATGTATACAAATGTATTTATTCAGATACAAATGGATACATTGTTGCAACCGCAAGACTTTTTCATGTCAAATATAATAGCGGACTGGAATTCTTATTCTTCTTCTTCTTCTCTTTCTTCTTCTTGCAGGTCACGGCTCATGCGCAGATTTTTTATTGGTAAAACGATCGGCCGATTTGCCCATCATTGCCGGGAAAATCGGGCAATCGGCAAAATCAGCTGATTTTTTCCAACTTTACCAATAAAAAAAACGTGCAAAAACTCAGAAAAATGGCTGACGAATTAACCCACTAACGGTGCGAAAATCGGCCGATTTTTTTTTAGGCTGGTATAGCAGTTGCGCGGGGAAACTAAACATGACTGTTGAGCCCAGCAAGTTTAAGGCTGCATGACACACCGTTTATCTCTAGGTGAAAAATATACAGTATACAGTATATAAAAAATTCCACCTTTCTAAATATAAACTGCGCTCAAAACAATAAAAAAGTGAATAACAAAATGATAAAACTATATATAGCTGCTACTTTCTATTGTGAACAAAAATTGTAACAAAAAATAATATTTTGGAATAACAAATATAAATGCAGCGCTCACGCAACAATAAACATAAAAATGTGTATCTTTCCACGCGTTTCGGAAAGCGCGCTGCAACCACGGGTCACTCTTGCAGGGCCAATAACTGTTAATGGTACCCAAAGGTAGCAGACATGCGTTGCATGAGCTACAAGCACACCAAAATGCCCTCTGAAAAAGGCCCATCGCTCCGCGAACGAAAAAAGGTTCTGGAGCTACTTTGGGGCATTTGTCACACTAAGGGCAGTCCCTTCAAGTGAATTGGCTGCCCTAGGTGTGACACTTGTTAATGTGTGAAAAAAAGAAAAAACTTAAGTGGGAATGTGCTACACTCAGGTGTGAATGGGGGCTTAGAGCAGTGCACTCCAAAATCAGCTCTCAGTAAATCTATGGGCAGCACAGTGGCTAAATGGTTAGCACTTTTGCCTGGCAGTACTAGGGTTGCAGAGAATCTCTGGCCGGGACCCGGTCATCAACACCTGTAGAAGGCAGTGGCAGCATGGGGTAGGGAGATGCACGTGGGTGCCCCCCTACCCAGAAATACAAAATCACATATATATATATACATGATTTTGCGCAGCCCTGCTTCTCTGTAGCAGTAGTTCTGCTATGGGGGGCGGTTGGGAAGCAGTTAACCCAATATGTTTGTTAAACTTCAAATAAAATCTGCATAAAACAGCTTACCTAACTACATCCCAGGGGCGGACTGACCATTTGGAAACTCGGGCACTGCCAGAGGGCCCGGGGTCAGTAGGGGGCCCCATGAGATGCCCCTGGTACCTTTTTCATAGGCTTTTTTGAGTTTGGGCAAGGACACAGGGGCCCCATGATCCCCTATTGCCCGGGGGGCCCCATGAGTTGTCAGTCCACCCCTGCTACATACTGTACATTTAGCCCGGGTTCACATACATGCGGTGCGGCATATCGCATGTGATTCGCACAGGAACCGTGCCGCATTCCAGTGCCAATCACATGTGATTTGTGTGCGGTGCGATCGGAGTCGTACATTTTGTATGTCTCTAATCGCACCGCACCCACAACAAAAATGTGCAGGACCCTTTTTTGTGTCCGTACTAGAATCAGATCGCACTAGAATCAGATCGCACTAGAATCAGATCGCACTAGAATCGGATCACACAGGTATTCACACCTATCTGATCTGATTCTGCAAATCGCACCACATTTTGCGGACCGCTTTCAGGGTGTTGCTAACTTAACATACACCCCCGCAGTGGAACGCATGAACGGGGAGCGATTCTGATGCGGTGCAGAATGCGCACACAAAACACTGCGAATTCCGTAACCGCGTCAGTGTGAACCCGGGCTCAACGTCATTCCATCAGCGATGACCGTGATAAATATTTTATCATCAACATGAAGTATCTATTATCAGGTCATTACGCATCACACATAGTTACAAAAGCTGTAATAATTACTGTTTATAGAGACACAGTAACTATTGATGGGACGTAGCACCCCCCCCCCCCCCACCCCCACCCCCCTCCTGCATGGCCGCACTGCGGTTCCCTACTTGTATTCAAGATACTGATTGTATATGATGACAAAGAAGAAATTCATTCCATTTTTTATACGGTCTGGACCAGGGGCAGACTGACAACTCATGGGGCCCCCGGGCAATAGGGGATCATGGGGCCCGTGTCCTTGCCCACACTCAAAGCACACCCAAAAAAGGTACCAGGGGCATTTCATAGGGCCCCCTACTGACCCTGGGCCCTCGGGCAGTGCCCGAGTGTTCGAATGGTCAGTCCACCCCTGGTCTGGACTTTCTACTAGAATGCTCTCTCACCCCCTCCCTTCTCAAGGTTTTGGGTCCTTTCACACGAGCGGACACACGGGGTCCACCTGTCCGTTTTTCAGGCGGACCTGATCAATCCATTCATAGACTTCTATGGACCGGTGGGTGTCAGCGGCCAGGGCTGCTGTTAGAAACTACAGGGCCTCATACAGCAAACCTGACGGGGCCCCTCCAGCAAAAGAAACACACAGTTTCCTATGCTTCAGTTCTAAATGAAAACAGTGAGTGATTGTTGCAAATCACTCATTGTGTTCATTGAGGAAATGAAGGGGCTGGTCAGGGGCGGACTGACAACTCATGGGGCCCCGGGCAATAGGGGATCATGGGGCCCCTGTGTCCTTGCCCAAATTCAAAAATGCCTATGAAAAAGGTACCAGGGGCATCTCATGGAGCCCCCTATTGACCCCGGGCCCTCGGGGCAGTGCCCAAGTTTCCAAATGGTCAGTCCGCCCCTGGGGCTAGTAAATGTGACATATTTACGGACCCTTCCCCCACTCTCCATCCTGAAGGATTCTGTTGTGTGCTTGCAGATGCCAGTGGAAAGGAAAGGAGGGAAGCCGGAAGTACTGTGGGGGCACACAGGGGAGCTTGGGCAGCAGGGGGAAACATATGGTGCACAGGGAGGGTGATGGTGTGGCAAGGGGGGCAATTATTGGAACCGATCCCCCGTATGGCTCTTTCTGCAGCAGCTGAAAGCCAGAGGGAGGGAGAAAAGGAGAAGCCACCTTCTCTGCCCACATCTGATTCAACCAGCTGCCTGGACCCCCCCGCTGGCCTGGGCCCTGTACAGGAGAACTAGTGGTACCCCCTTATCTGCGGCCCTGTCAGCGACTGACACTCACCATCATCCGATCCGATCCTGCACACCAAAAACAGACAGATGGGGATCCGTTCCCCATTCATCCAGCAGATCGAATCAGATGACAATCGGGGTGGAAATGGACTGGCGGTCCTGTTTTCATCCGTCCATCCCATTGAAATCAGTAGGCTGTGTCTGTGTCCGCTCTGCAGCAGCAAAGCGGACACAGACCTGTCACCTGCCTGCTCATCGGGGATCAGCGGAAAGATCACCCAGTGAGCAGGAGGATCCCACTGATGGATCCGCCCCATCTGAAAGGGGCCTTAAGGTTTGCAACTTTTAGTCCTCATGCACACGGGGCGTTTTTACAGCGGCTGTTTTTGGCTTTTGGCGTTTTTGGCGTTTTTTTTTCTACAGCCAGTAAACCCCCCAGCATGTTATCCTATGTGTCCATACACACAGAGACTGGAATCAACGTTTTTGGACAGGGAAATTTTTGGCTGGAAAAAAAACAGAACTAGTGGGTTTCTAGAGGAGTTTTTTAGCTGTAGAAACATTGTAACGCAGCAAAAAACGATTTTGCGACTGAGCTCAGTGATGTGCGAATTTGCCTCTGTATTTCACATTTCAGTGTTTTTGGTTTGATTATATTATTGAATTAAATTTATTATTATATTATTATTTTTTATGATTATTTATTAAATTATAATTTATGATTTCGTGCTTCAAATTTTATCCTCCCCGGAATGTTTACTAGACTCTTGTTCGGACAGATTTCAGTGAGTTATTCTTAAAAATTACAGCCTACAATAAAAAAGTACATATTTCCATGCAAAATATTACCGCTTTCAGCACAAAAAAATCGGAAAGAATCATACCGCCAAGGAGGTTAATACCATCTCACACCACCCCTTTTCTTATCTTGTGTATAAAATGCAATAATAAACCCAGTAGAATGGATAAACTGAAAGAGCTGGGTGTCTTGCAACATATTTGTTCTCTGCAATTGCATTTTTTTTTTCTAGCATCTCAGCCAGAAAAATCCATAATAGTTTTTGACGCACCAGCCAGGAGTGGCCAGAGTCTCCTTATAGGCCACTTAGGTAAGTTGACTCTAACTGGTCATCACAGAGGACAAGGGACCACTCTTTATGTCTGGAGGAAAAGAGATTTAATCTCCAAACACGGAAAGGTTTCTTTACAGTGAGAGCTGTGAGAATGTGGAATAGACTCCCTCCAGAGTTGGTTGTGGCCAGCTCAGTGGATTGCTGTAGGAAAGTCCTGGATTCTTTCTTGGATACACAGAAAATAACTGGATATAATTTATAGGGAAAGTTGATCCAGGGAATATCCGATTGCCTCTCATTGTCCAGCAGTTAAAATTTAGAAAACAAAAAGGGTGGTGCCCCCCCCCTTCCATACTAAGCCCTTCGGGTCTTGTATGGATTTTGAGGGGAGCCCCTACGTCAACATTTTTTTTTAATTACAGCTGCGCTGGGATGACAGTTCCTATATGCTGTGATGACATTACAACGGGCAGGGTCACTTCTGCCCTCTTGTGATGTCATCATATGCTGTTATTGGCCAAAGCATTGCAACTGACCTTTGATCAGGTGCATTGCTTTGGCCAATCACAATGCACTGTCAGGGCACAGTGCATTGTGGGGCCATGGGTGGACTTACAACTCATGGGGCCCCCAGGCAATAGGGGATCATGGGGCCCCGGTATCCATGCCCACACTCAAAAAAGGATATGAAAAAGGTACCAGGGGCATCTCATGGAGCCCCCTACTGACGCCAGGCCCTTGGGCAGTGCCCGAGTTTCCAAATGGTCAGTCTGCCCTGTGTGGGGTGCAGCGGGCGAATAGCCCCTTTGTGTGTTCACAGCCAGCGTCGACATCTAGCCCATCTCTAGTGACAAACCCACTCTAGAGAGATTTCCTCTCACAGGAATGGAAATCTGCCCAATGGGACAGAAAGAACCCCGGTTCCCAACTTGAAGAAAAGTTTGGGCTTTAGATATATATTAATTAAAACTAGCAGGAAGGATCTTGTGTACATGAGTGTCTGACCTGAAACAGAAAGCATGGTGCTTTTAGCAAAACTCAGATCGCTAATGGGATGAGTTTACCAACTAGAAATTCAAACAATGCCTTTCAGAACCTTTGAGAATGCTTCACAAAGTTAGGAAAAAGCCAATGTACACAAACACTGAGTACAAAGGAGGAACCTCGAGGAACAGAGAATTTCTGATGAGCGTATCATGATTTTGTCTGTTAATGGAATACTTGGTGGACAGCTAATATTCCACGTACCTTGGCTGCATTACAGTAATCCCACTTTGGGACAAGGCTTTCCTGTTGGCCATGTGCAACAGCCAGATCTCTTTGTGGGTGAAAAGTCGAATGCTGAAAGCTTTATCTAACAGCTTCTCCGCACAAACATATTGGGAGATGTTCTTCACAAAATTCTGGATGTCGGCCCTGATGTCTTGTCCTACATAATCAGTTTGGAGTTTGTACTGTTTGAGCAGAGCTAGAGCCACTCGATACAAAACTTTGTTGCCCTCAAGAAGAAAAACGTCAAAGACCCTAATGGCATACTCAAAGGGTAAGTCACCAAAGATCCATGTTTGCCAGTCAGAAAAGACTTCTGCTGAATTTTCACTGTGGGTGACGATTAACTTATGACCAGCTTGACAATATTTCTTGGCCAAGTCACCAAAAGTCATGCTTGAGGCTTCGTAGGACAAGAAGCTTTGCTCAATGTAAGACTTGTGTGGATCAGTGCAGGAGATGAGGTGGCAAGTCTTCTCGAAACACTCTGCCTCATCTTCACTGAAGTGCATCAAGAGCGCCACCACTGCCGGCAAGGCAGGGGAATAGGTGATGTCTGGATACTGATTAGCAATACAGATCAGTACCTTCTTCACAGCCTTCTCTCCTCTAGCATTAAGGCAGAACATGGGCAGAAGACATCCATCCACAAAATCTGGCAAAGGATGGTCAATTGTGCCATCAGGACCGAAGAGCCTCTCGGCTACATCATGATAAACCTTGGCATTCGGTGTGAATATCCGGCAGCTGATGTTCTTGGTGATCTTATTGTAGGCCTCTGCTCTCAGGGTTCGATGGCCAGTCCAAGTACCTTCTCTGGCCATCCGCTTTAGTTCCTTGGCAGAGAAGGGGATTTCCAGATGTGAAGGACTCTTCTTCTGAGGCTTGGTGGGGAACTGATCCCAGTCCACAAAATGCCCACAGTCAGCATAGGAAGAAGTGTCAATATCCCAGGCATCATCTTCTGGGGTAACAATGATTGGTGGGGAGCAAAAGTCACTCATACCTGTCCAATGGGATAAAAATAGAAACATTATTCATATACATAAAATTAGTACTTATTTCCGCCATATTGAAGGATATGAACCCAAACTGTATGACATTTAGTTTGCTAAAGCATTGTGATGTAAATAAGTGCCTTGTTTAATCTTTCAGGAAAAAAAACTTTCATCCACTTCCTGTCTACATGTGCTCACTCCAGTTAGGCATCATAGCTCTGGACCGTCTTCGTAATGGTGACAATGGTGGACCATTCCCACCCAATATTTTGGCATGGCTGTTTGCCCCCATCAGAGGCACATGGGACAGAGTGACAATATAGAAGCACGGTGGGGAGACAGTTGTCAACCCATAACAGGAAGAGTATGAGCAAGGAAGGATCTTCAAGGCAGGATACATCGAGTGGCTGTACACCAATCATCTGTTTTAGTGCTTTAACCCACGAAAGGTCTTCCAGTTATGGATCTATATGAGCACAGAGTAGCAAGAAAACAACATCATTCTGCCATTGCATATGACATAATATTTAAAGAGACCCTGTCACCAGACTATTCAACAGAGATCTTCCCATAAGATTATATGCAGTTAACATATTTTTTGCATACTATTTACCTGCAAAATCCTCCCTTGTGTAGACATCCAAAAGCCCCAAGACTGCTACTCGGCATCACTGTTTTCAGGAAACGAGTGCAGCCAATGTTATTCTTCTTTTTGTTCAGCTGCTGCTCATTCCTGTGCAGCTAATGCTCATGCACATGTACTAGCACAGACAAGCGCAGGCTAATATCCAGCATGCACCGACACTTCCCTCATTGGGGCCAAGCTGCCTATTTAAAGGAGACTCTGCTGTGTACCAGTCACTGGATGTTCTTCAGCTTCCTTTGATCCGTGATCCTGTGTTCGTGTTTATACTGACTGATCTTCCATTGCTGACCCTGGTTGCTCCTGACCCTGTTATGTGGATTCTGGATTCTGACCTCGGCTTGCCTTAGACTACTCTCTGCCTGATCTCCTGGTGCTGACCTCGGCTTGCCTTAGACTACTCTCTGCCTGATCTCCTGATGCTTACCTCAGCTTGCCTTAGACTACTCTCTGCCTGATCTCCTGGTGCTGACCTCGGCTTGCCTTAGACTACTCTCTGCCTGATCTCCTGGTGCTGACCTCGGCTTGCCTTAGACTACTCTCTGCCTGATCTCCTGGTGCTGACCTCGGCTTGCCTTAGACTACTCTCTGCCTGATCTCCTGGTGCTGACCTCGGCTTGCCTTAGACTACTCTCTGCCTGATCTCCTGGTGCTGACCTCGGCTTGCCTTAGGCTACTCTCTGCCTGATCTCCTGGTGCTGACCTCGGCTTGCCTTAGACTACTCTCTGCCTGATCTCCTGGTGCTGACCTCGGCTTGCCTTAGACTACTCTCTGCCTGATCTCCTGGTGCTGACCTCGGCTTGCCTTAGACTACTCTCTGCCTGATCTCCTGGTGCTGACCTCGGCTTGCCTTAGACTACTCTCTGCCTGATCTCCTGGTGCTGACCTCGGCTTGCCTTAGACTACTCTCTGCCTGATCTCCTGGTGCTGACCTCGGCTTGCCTTAGACTACTCTCTGCCTGATCTCCTGCTGCTGACCTCGGCTTGCCTCTGACTACTCTCTGCCTGATCTCCTGGTGCTGACCTCGGCTTGCCTTAGACTACTCTCTGCCTGATCTCCTGGTGCTGACTTTGGCTTGCCTTAGACTACTCTCTGCCTGATCTCCTGGTGCTGACCTCGGCTTGCCTTAGACTACTCTCTGCCTGATCTCCTGATGCTTACCTCAGCTTGCCTTAGACTACTCTCTGCCTGATCTCCTGGTGCTGACCTCGGCTTGCCTTAGACTATTTTCTGCCTGATCTCCAGGTGCTGACCTCGGCTTGCCTTAGACTACTCTCTGCCTGATCTCCTGGTGCTGACCTCGGCTTGCCTTAGACTACTCTCTGCCTGATCTCCTGGTGCTGACCTCGGCTTGCCTTAGACTACTCTCTGCCTGATCTCCTGGTGCTGACCTCGGCTTGCCTTAGACTACTCTCTGCCTGATCTCCTGGTGCTGACCTCGGCTTGCCTTAGACTACTCTCTGCCTGATCTCCTGGTGCTGACCTCGGCTTGCCTTAGACTACTCTCTGCCTGATCTCCTGGTGCTGACCTCGGCTTGCCTTAGACTACTCTCTGCCTGATCTCCTGGTGCTGACCTCGGCTTGCCTTAGGCTACTCTCTGCCTGATCTCCTGGTGCTGACCTCGGCTTGCCTTAGACTACTCTCTGCCTGATCTCCTGCTGCTGACCTCGGCTTGCCTCTGACTACTCTCTGCATGACCTCCTGGTGCTGACTTTGGCTTGCCTTAGACTACTCTCTGCCTGATCTCCTGGTGCTGACCTCGGCTTGCCTTAGACTACTCTCTGCCTGATCTCCTGGTGCTGACCTCGGCTTGCCTTAGACTACTCTCTGCCTGATCTCCTGGTGTTGACCTCGGCTTGCCTTAGACTATTTTCTGCCTGATCTCCTGGTGCTGACCTCGGCTTGGCTTAGACTACTCTCTGCCTGATCTCCTGGTGCTGACCTGGGCTTGCCTTAGACTACTCTCTGCCTGATCTCCTGCTGCTGACCTCGGCTTGCCTCTGACTACTCTCTGCCTGATATCCTGGAGCTTACCTCGGCTTGCCTTAGACTACTCTCTGCCTGATCTCCTGGTGCTGACCTCGGCTTGCCTTAGACTACTCTCTGCCTGATCTCCTGGTGCTGACCTCGGCTTGCTACTGGACTTCGCTCTGCTTGCTAACTTGGTACTGACCCCATCCTGCCTCCTGACCACGCTGCTGTCTCACTGTGTATGACCCTGGCTCACCTTGACTACATCCCTGACTGTGGCGGTCACCTGCTATCAAGCTATCAGCACCCGTGCTTCTTTGAGCCTTGTACCACTGTTACCACATTCAAGGGTGCTCAGACCAGAGCTGCAAGGGAAGCCCTCTCATAAACTTGGCCTTTAACCAAGGACCACGACCACAATCTTGTATGTGATGTCAGCATCCCCAGCAGACTCAAAGCTGTCACTCAAGTGACCCTATAGTCTTCCATTTCACTCCTCCCCAGGCAGTTACATGCAAAAGCTTACAGAAACTGGACACTCCCAGAAAAAGAGAGGGCTTTGACGTGTAAGGAGGAAAGGGCTGTACTAGGGAATTGGCTCTTCCTGGAGTAGTCAATTCTTCTAGACAGTTCAAAGACACAACCTATGCAACCTAATACTTCAGCAGACACAAGTGACATCTCTGTTTCACAGATTGGCTGCAACCAATTGGAGGAATCTTGTTGTCAGAATAAAATGTCCCATTGGGAAGGATTCTACCATCCACCTCACTTGTGTAGATGAGGGAATACATTTTTTTTTTCAATCAGCCCTCTGGTTGATCAAAAAAAATAAATAAATAAAAAAGAACCATCTATGGCCAGCTTAAGGAAGCCTTTCTCATCTATGGCTCATTCAGAGGTTGCTAGGGGTTCCTCACTAACACAATGTAGGCAGGTGCAGTCTGTTCTCTCCACTGCAGGTGGCGCTCAACCGAGTGGCACCACAGCCTGGAGAGGAAGTCAAGAGAAACCTGGTTTCTCTATGGTTTCCTGGGTCATGGAGCAGCTTCCCTGTTGGCTACGCTGCGTCCATGTGACCCCTGGTGGCCATCTTGGGTCAGCAGGGTTTTGCTGCGCATTTTTTTTGTAAAGTGGGTAGAGTAGGGAGAGAGACACCATCTGACAAAAGGTTCTTGGTGAGTAAGGACAGTCTACGTATTTACTATCGTCAAGGAAGCTTCTCCTTTGGGGTAAGACCAACCAGGCCTCACTCCTCTCTCTGAAACAGACGCTGTCTGTGCATCTCTTCCTGCTACTCTTCTGCATTTGAACTGAACTGTGAGTGGTTTTCCCAAGAGGCACTATCCCGCAAGTTCCAAGTTTTATTTAAACTAGACTCTGTGTCTTTGCTGCCGCCACACCATGCTGCACTTCCCCACAACCAATGATCTTTCTTCCAACTACCCTCCAGTTGGGGTTTCCAGTGGGGTCTGGAACGTATGGACTTATATGGACTTGTGCTACCTTAAGCTGGATCATGTTATGGATTATTGCTACCTCTTGTGAATTTATTGTCTTTTATGGACTCTTGCTTTCAGAAAGGAACTTTATGGATTTAGTCAGGTTTGACTACCTCAAGGGGCACTACTCAGGGGCACGAGAGAACTTTGTACAGGAAAGTGTATGGAAGATGTCGTTGAGAACTGTTTGTGTGTAAAAGATCTTTATTCTTCATCTAAATTGCCTAGTTTGAAGTCTTTAAAAAGATGCATGCGCGGCGCATCCAAAGAACAGGGCAACAGGGGACTGAGGACATTAGAGAAGATACAGTACAGAAGGCTACCAAACATAGATCTGTCTAGAGGAGGATATATTACTGTTGCTAATGACTACCGTATTTGTGTCACTCGCTAAAGCAGACAACCAGCCAGGAAATGGGTGACACTGCATAGATAACAGATACTCCGGTAATAAAGGGGTGTTATGCTTGGTCCATTCACTAGCAACCAGTTCCCCACATACTGAGACCAACCTCGTGGCACAGACTACCTAGGAACCTAGTCTGGGAGTCAGGGATGGTGTAGTAAGTCCTCAGGAGAAGACCAAGCATAGAGTGTTTCCTATTTCCAATGGCAACATACGGACATGGTCAAGAGGAGCAAGGTGACGGGACCACCAAGTTGGTAGAGACCGGCACATGCTCCATGGTGCTGGCTCAGAAATGTTGCACACCAGGAGGGGGAGGTGTTCTCTAACAGAAGTTGTGTCCAACTGAAATGTCACAATATATTTGCACAGCTTTTTATCAAATGTTTATTTTCAGGGAAAAAAAAACAGTGTAAGACGTCTGGCCATGCATTACAAAGAGTTAACCGTGCAAGTGCTTGCTTCTATACCAAGTGCCTTAATGTTGATTTCACATGACCACAGCTCCTAACTATGGTTTAGGCATTGGGAGCATTCTTCCCACTGACCCCCAATGTAAGGGGCATTCTTCCCACTGACCACAAATGTAAGGGGCATTCTTCCCACTGACCCCCAATGTAAGGGACATTCTTCCCACTGACCACCAATGTAAGGGACATTCTTCCCACTGATCACCAATGTAAGGAGCATTCTTCCCACTGACCCCCAATGTAAGGGACATTCTTCCCACTGACCACCAATGTAAGGGACATTCTTCCCACTGACCCCCAATGTAAAGGACATTTTTCCCACTGACCACCAATGTAAGGGACATTCTTCCCACTGACCACCAATGTAAGGGACATTCTTCCCGCTGACCACCAATGTAAGGGACATTCTTCCCACTGATCACCAATGTAAGGGACATTCTTCCCACTGATCACCAATGTAAGGAGCATTCTTCCCACTGACCACTAATGTAAGGAGCATTCTTCCCACTGACCACCAATGTAAGGGGCATTCTTCCCACTGACCACCAATGTAAGGGGCATTCTTCCCACTGACCAACCATGTAAGGGGCATTCTTCCCACTGATCACCAATGTAAGGGACATTCTTCCCACTGACCACCAATGTAAGGGACATTCTTCCCACTGATCACCAATGTAAGGGACATTCTTCCCACTGACCACCAATGTAAGGAGCATTCTTCCCACTGACCACCAATGTAAGGGGCATTCTTCCCACTGACCACCAATGCAAGGGACATTCTTCCCACTGATCACCAATGTAAGGAGCATTCTTCCCACTGACCACCAATGTAAGGAGCATTCTTCCCACTGACCACCAATGTAAGGAGCATTCTTCCCACTGATCACCAATGTAAGGGACATTCTTCCCACTGATCACCAATGTAAGGGGCATTCTTCCCACTGATCACCAATGTAAGGGACATTCTTCCCACTGACCCCCAATGTAAGGGACATTCTTCCCACTGACCCCCAATGTAAGGGACATTCTTCCCACTGACCACCAATGTAAGGGACATTCTTCCCACTGACCCCCAATGTAAGGGACATTCTTCCCACTGACCACCAATGTAAGGGACATTCTTCCCACTGACCACCAATGTAAGGGGCATTCTTCCCACTGATCACCAATGTAAGGGGCATTCTTCCCACTGATCACCAATGTAAGGGACATTCTTCCCACTGACCACCAATGTAAGGGGCATTCTTCCCACTGATCACCAATGTAAGGGGCATTCTTCCCACTGATCACCAATGTAAGGCACATTCTTCCCACTGACCACCAATGTAAGGGACATTCTTCCCACTGATCACCAATGTAAGGGACATTCTTCCCACTGATCACCAATGTAAGGGGCATTCTTCCCACTGATCACCAATGTAAGGGGCATTCTTCCCACTGATCACCAATGTAAGGGACATTCTTCCCACTGACCAGCCTTCGATGGTGTCGGTGGTTGGTGCACATAGGTTTTTTCCCATTATTTTTGTGTATATTGTGGGGATGTTACAATGTATTGATTGATGTATGTTTACAGTATGTTGCAGGTTATCACTAGATTGAGTGTCATGTGTTTTTTTTTTTGCACTGTTCATGTGTTGGTGACACTTTTGTACACATGACCAGTATACGTGTGCGTGTGTATCCTGCTGTAGGGCGGAGGGCGTAACCTCTGGAAGACGTGGAGGAAGAGGGATCGGGGTAAGGAGGTAAACATGTCATGTTCTTGTGTTCCTCACAACAAAGCACTTTGCGTCTGTTTACAGTAAATGAATGGGCTGACCTTGTTTTCGGCTGGCAGGGTAGAGAACGAACGCTATCTCTCATGTTTTTGTTTTTATAACATTCTGTCTATGGGCTCTACATCGGCCAGTTGATACTTCTGTTCTGGGGCCCCTAGGGACAGCGCGGGGGAACCTTTGAAGCCGGCCATACACGGTTCGAATTCCGAAAGAAATTTATTTCTAAAAACTTTTTCATTTGAATTTCACACCATTAGTGGGCCACAGCAACGGACGATTTTCGAGTGACCATCGAATTTGGTGATCCGGCGTGTTGGAAATTTTTTGAAAAATGAACGATTTTCTAATCAATGGTGGGAGAATCGTGCGAGAGATGTAATCGAAAAAGAAGTGAGCGTGAGCCATGACCAGGAAAGAATAGAAAATTCTTGGCCACGAAAATTCCTTTCTGCAGCGACAAAGTGAAATGAAAGACTGGGTTGGTCCAATTTCAAAATCAATGGTGGCGCCATCGGATTACAAAACGCTCAAAATGTCCAATTTTCTAAAGGAAATTAGTTCGGAATTCGACCCGAGTATGGCCTGCATAGGTCCTCATGCACACGGGGCGTTGTGATAACGCTGGTAACGTTAGCTGTGTAAAGTCACGTTAAAAACACGAGTTTTTCAGCTTTTTTTAGCGTTTTTGCATTAGCGTTTACCGGCATTTTCCCACATTTTTCGGCGATTGCGGTTTTTTAGCCTTTTTTTGACCCCCCAAAAAAGTTAAAAAAGTCAGGAAATGCCGGATTGCTGTGTTCTACCGTGCCTTACCGCATTTGGCCATTAAAAATGTGAGTTTTTCAGCTTTTTTTAGTGTTTTTGCATTAGCGTTTAGCGGATGTTTGCCGCCATTAGGAGCATTTTCCCACATTTTTCCGCGGTTGCGTTTTTTAGCCTTTTTTTGACCCCCCAAATTTTTTGTTCTGGGACCCTCAAGTCAGTGTGTCATTGTTCTGGGACCCCCAAGGTCAAAGTGTGTCATTGTTCTTGGACCCCCAAGTGTCAGTGTGCCATTGTTCTGGGACCCCCAAGTGTCAGTGTGTCATTGTTCTGGGACCCCCAAGTGTCAGTGTGTCATTGTTCTGGGACCCTCAAGTGTCAGTGTGTCATTGTTCTTGGACCCTCAAGTGTCAGTGTGTCATTGTTCCAGACACACAAACTCCATGTGGACTGATTCCGGGAATCCACTGCTCTAAGGAGGCAGTAGAGTCTGTAAGCCCTGACAATGGACGCCTCCTATTTCCTCCGTGTCGGTTTGGTACATTTCTCATGTGAAATGTTTCATTCTGTCTGTTCTAGAATTGCTGTCTGTTCATCCCGCCATCAGTCGTATGATCCCCCTGTCTGTGCTGATTGTGATCAGTTCCATTGTTCTGAGCGATCTCTGAGGTCGCCGTGGTTCCTGGGGTCTCCTGCTTCTCCGGGGAGCTCAGGACGGCCGTAGGCAGCCGGGCCGTCTTCACACAGAGGAGATGGAAGAACTTTCATTCCCCGATCTCCCGTCGTTCCGGCACACATCAGCAATCACACCACGCATGTGAGGTATTGCCACGAATGTCAGAACGAGAGCGATCATTGCAGGGCCATAATCCACGATTACCTCTAACATGATGACCCATACAGGCTTTTAAAGCGCCACCTATGGACAGTTCTAGGTACCGTAGTTTTTTTGCCAATTTGAAATCTGGAGGCGTTTGGTATCTATATACTCAACGCAACATCTTCTTTTATATTTTACCATTTAAAAAAAATGGGTGTTTCTTGTTTGTGTCACTGAGATTCATATTAGTATATTGGCTGCTAAAAAAAAATGTAAGCAATTTTATAAATGGCTGTGCAACTATCATGCGACATTGAAACAAATTGCAGCAGCCACCATTTTATTCTCCAGGGGCTCCTGCTTCATGTTTGGGGGTTCTAAGTCATTTTTTTGCTGATTTTGACAGATTTAAAAAAATTGCCCGGCATAGCAAGCGGTTAATATTTGCTGGACTGCCTACCTGGCTCTATAGCTCCCAGGGGCGGACTGACAACTCATGGGCCCCCCGGGCAATAGGGGATCATGGTGCCCCAGTGTCCTTGCCCAAACTCAAAAAAGCCTATGAAAAAGGTACCAGGGGCATCTCATGGGGCCCCCTACTGACCCCGGGCCCTCAGGCAGTGCCCGAGTTTCCATATGGTCAGTCCGCCCCTGATAGCTCCCTCTAGATTTTTTATTCTGTACAGCCGATACTCCTAGAACCCGTGCAAGTATGACGGGACGACAGTGTGAATGAACGTCATTCCCAGAGAATGATTTTATTGCCTTGTCTTAAAGCAGTATTAAACCGAAAACCCCAAAAATGCTATATACATGGCAGCTTACCAGACATTAGATGTGGCGGCTGCATTAGTTTTCTTTTTTTTAGGCTTTTCTCCCCCTCTGTTTTCACCTGGAGATCTGGCCAGTAACACACCTCCTGTATTACCAATCTTGTCTCCAAATATCACCCAAACCGTCCTCTCCGCTCCTCGCACGACCTCCTGCTCTCTAGCTCCCTTGTCTCCTCCTCTCATGCTCATCTCCAGGACTTTTCCAGAGCTTCCCCCATCCTCTGGAACTCTCTACCCCAATCTATCAGACTATCGCCTACTCTGCTCAGGGAAGCCTATCCTGCCCTCAGCTAATACTGGAATCTTCTACTCTTCCAACCAGTCCATCCCCCACAGTTACTATCTTTTGTATAACCAGCCCCTCCCTCTTAGATTGTAAGCTTACAGGATCAGGGCCCTCCTAACCAAGGGCGGACTGACCATTTGGAATCTCGGGCACTGCCCAAGGGCCCGGGATCAGTAGGGGGCCCCATGAGGTACCTTTTTCATAGGCTTTTTTAAATTTTGGGCAAGGACACAGGGGCCCCATGATCTCCTATTGCCCGGGGGCCCCATGAGTTGTCAGTCCGCCCCTGCTCCTAACCCTCTTGTATTGAACTGTATTGTTGCTGTATTGTCTCCCGTTATATTGTAAAGCGCTGAGCAAACTGTTGGCGCCATAAATCCTGGATAATAATAATAATTAGAGCCCCCCCCCACCACTCTGGAGGAATGAACACAGGAGGCACAGCAGCCTTGTCAGTCTGGGGGAGGAGGGGAGTTTTTAAATGTATTAGCAGATAGAAATACACTAACCAATTGAAGCCAGACTCTAGCAAACTCTTTAGCCCTGGTTCCCACTAACACCCCCCCCCCCCCCCCCCCCTGTTCACATCAAGCCTGACTTTGAAATCGTGTGACTTACAGTGAATCGCACTGATATGATGTAATTGCGTACAACAGGCTGCGATTTGACATGCGATTTGCAAATCGCATGCCAATTTGCATCCAGTGTGACTGGGGTCTACTGGAAAAACCTGAAATAAAAAAATGTTCCTTACTTGATACAATGTTTCCAGTGCTCTCTGCGATGTTCTCAGTCGCTCTCAGCCAAAATCAGTGCCCAAGTTGAAACCGCACTGACATGACCGCTGTAATTGTGGACAATAAGTCGCATGACATGCAAATCGCATGCCAATTCGCATCCGGTGTGACCGGGGTCTAATAGAAAAACATGACATAAAAAAAAAATGTTCCTTACTTGATACAATGTTACTGATGTTCTCGGTCGCTCTCAGCCGAAATCAGTGCCCAGGAGCTCTGTGTGTGTCCTGCTCTCAACTGTCACTCATCCATTATGAAGGGCAGGTAGGTAAGCCCCGCCTCCAGGTGATGTCACACCTGCCCACGCCTGGCCCAACCGGAAGGCCGAGCCGTGTTTTTGTTTTGGCTCAGATCTTTGGGGAGGGGGGGGATGGAGAACAGTTTTCTTCCATGCCAGGAGCAGAACTGTCACTTCTCAAGGACAAAGCCTTCGAGGATGGAATCGCATCTCCCCGATCATGTGCGATGGGGAAAACATCGAGGAATGACTCACAACCGACACTCCTTCTACCTCTGAGATGGAATGTTCCCGAGCGACACACACAGTAAATTGTAACAAATAAAACTGAATCGGAAAGTTCCGGAATATTTATACTTTTT